AGAGGATAAAAATAGAAATTGTATGTGGTAAGCCTCATCCTGAACTTGGGCACTTGGAAACAAACAGACATAAGGGCATAACTCTTTGAAATAGAACAGAGGAAAACCAAGTAACATTGATAATAATAAAAAGTAATACAGTCTATTCTCAATGTGAGTTTAAGAAAGCAATATAGCCAAGAACAAAATCAAGTGCAATAACTTTTTTGTTAAACGACCATAACTACATTATGTGAGAGAAAAAATGTGAAGTAAATCACCTTTACCAGAACACAAACACATACAGCAAATATTTATTTACTTCACATCAACCCATCATCCTTTGCAAGTGCCAATAATTCAATTTGAAGAAAAGAATTCTGAGTTACAAACAATGTAAAGGGCCATAACTCAATGACAGTTTATTAAACTAGGCACACAGATATCATGAACTTTTTTACCTTACTTTATAATTTCAAGTAAAGCAATTTGAATAAATTCCATCATGAATTGACAGATAAATTTCTGAAGAAGGTTGAACAAATGCATTGCAGGGAAAGGTGCAACTGTAAACACTTACCCCTCACCATTTATTTAACAATTTTACAATACATACAGAACTAGAGATTGAAATTGTGCAAACTGTCAATGGCATTCCATATGGCTTTGATATAAAAAAAACTGTATCCTATCTGCTGTACATTTTAAAAGACATTTGTGGCATAGTGATTGAAAAAAAAAAGAGCATAAATTTAAACAAAAGGGCCATGATAGCCCTAAATTGCTCACCTGAGTCAGAATACATGTTTATTTGGGATATTTCAAAGAAGATTTTTTTTATTATTTTTTTACTATATAAGGAAAATCAATGATCCCCAGGCAGGGCCAATTTTCACCCCAAGGCTTTTTTCAATTGGTAGACACTCAGTAGAAGATGTTTCATGCCAAATATCTTAGCTCTAGCTCTTTGGGTTTCTCAAAAGAAGACTTTTTTTGTTTTTACTATATATGTATACATAAAAGGAAAATCAATGACTCCTCCAAGGCCGGGCTAATTTTGACCCCAGGGTTTTTATTTGATTAAACTTGGTAGACACTTAATATCTAAGCTCTAACTCTTTGGGTTTTTTAAAAGAAGATTTTTTAAAAAGTTTTTGATATATACATATAAGGAAAATCAATGACCCCCCCCCCCCCTCCGTGTGGGGCAAATTATGGCCCAAAGACGCAAAGAAGCGCCGCAATGCGACGAAAACCAGGTTTTCAACGACCAAGTTTTGATGTGACAGCAATCAATAGGTCAAAAAGCACTGAAGTTATTGAGTAGAAGCTGAAAATTCTATTGTAAGCAAATGACCTTGAACTTGCTCCCAGATATCTTAGTGGCAATCAAAAGCTGCAACTCAGCAAGTTTGGTGTCAAAAGGTCAAATCAAACTCAAGTTATAACATGAAAACTAAATACATTAACCTTGATCACAGACACCTGGGTAGCAATCCCAAGCTGCCTCTTGTCAAAGCTACCGATTCATCAAGTTTGGTGTCAATAGGCCAAAGCAAACTCAAGTTATTGAGCAGAAACTGAATTTCTATTTTTAGTAACAGTGACCTTGACCTTGACAACAGACACCTGGGTAGCAATCCCAAGCTGCCTCTTGATATAAGCTATCCATACACCAAGTTAGGTGTCAATAGGCCAAAGCAAACTCAAGTTCTTGAGCAGAAACTGAATTTCTATTTGTAGTAACAGTGACCTTGAACTTGATCACAGACCCCTGGATAGCAATCCCAAGCTGCCTCTTGATATGAGCTATCCATACACCAAGTTTGGTGTCAATAGGCCAAAGCAAACTTAAGGTTATTTAACAGAAACTGAATTTCTATATTTAGTAACAGTGACCTTGACCTTGATCACAGACACCAGGGTAGCAATCCCAAGCTGCCTCTTGATATAAGCTATCCATACACCAAGTTTGGTGTCAATAGGTCAAAGCAAACTCAAGTTATTGAGCGGAAACTGAATTTCTATTTTTAGTAACAGTGACCTAGACCTTAATCACAGACACCTGGGTAGCAATCCCAAGCTGCCTCTTGATATAAGCTATCCATACACCAAGTTTGGTGTCAATAGGTCAAAGCAAACTCAAGTTATTGAGCGGAAACTGAATTTCTATTTTTAGTAACAGTGACCTTGACCTTGATCACAGACACCTGGCTAGCAATCCCAAGCTGCCTCTTGATATAAGCTACCTACACACCAAGTTTGGTGTCAATAGGCCAAAGCAAACTAAAGTTATTGAGCGGAAACCAAAAGTTGACGCCCGCCCGCCCAGCCGCCCGCCTGCCGACTTCGGCATTACAATAACCCGGTTTTCGTTGAAAACCTGGTTAACAAACCTGGAAGATACTCACTAGAAGATGTTTCATGCTTCATCTCTAAGCTCTAGCTCTCTGGGTTTTATAAAAGAAGATTTTTTAAAAGTTTTTTCTTTCGCTTGCCATGGCAACCAGAGTTTAGCATGGAATAAATTTTTTTTGAATAAATTTTAAAGATGAGCACCAAAGGAACATTCCTGTGAAGTTTGGATGAAATTGGCTTTGTGGTTTATTAGGAGATGTCGTTTAAAGTTCACGGATGGATGACAGACAGATGACAGACAGACACACCGATAAAAAGTGATCACAAAAGCTCACCATATGTCACTCTGTGACAGGTGAGCTAAAAGTTAAGTCAAATTAACAGTGCATGCATCATTAAATAGATGAACAAAAACATCAGCACCAATTTATGATAACTAAGGAACACTGACAAATAAATTCAACTTTAATTTAAAATACTTAAAAATATTAACATAAGTTTTTTACAAAAAGAATCTCATTAAAAGGGAGAGTAACACTTTGAATGACAAGCATTGTTTTCAAATAATCTTTTATATTCTTCGTTGAAACATTAAAAGTCTACTCTGAAGGTAAAATGTTTACAATAGGGGAATAAAACAGACATAGCAGGAATTTTTAAACACCTTTTCTATTCCTACCTCAGTTCCTTTGATAAATGCCATTTAAAATACCATCTAAATACCAGTAACATTATGTTGATATAACAAATGTCATGAGTGCAAATAAAATTCTTACAGGAATTTCAATATCATTTCCGTTCATAAATCTATCACCACATAGTGAGGCCATTCCTTAGTAACCTTTTTGAAATCATTATATTTTTCTTTTCTTTTTAGCGAGAAAATCCTTATCTTCACAGAGCCAATCAAATATAATCATACATTTAGGGGTCTTTGACCTAGCCCATAAATGAGAAAAGACAACATAAAGATTTACATATCACCAAGATCAATTTATAGGCAGTATAAATAAAATATTATCATACAAGAATCTATACGCATATTAACTTCTCATAATTATATATATATACAGTACAACATAAAGGATAAGGTTACGTGTGAATGACCTTACTGAGCATGCTATGCAGATTACTACAACTAAGGGGAGAGAACTGTTACCAGTAGTAGTAAAGATTAGATTGTATTTCTTGACCAAAGGTCCTGAAATATCAAAGCAGAGCAAAATAAAAATAAAGTAAACATGCAAATCAATATTGAGATCTAAAGAATTTTCTATGAATCTAAACTAATATTATTGGGAATAAATTAACTGAAAAATAAATAACTGTGAAAGACAACTTCAAAATTTATGTTGAAAAATAAATCTAATAAATACTATTTGAATCATTTTGTCATTTAAAGATGTAAAAAAAATAATATCAATTCAGTTTTTTTTTCACAAGAAAAAAATCTCCAATTATTGAGAAAAAAAAAAAAAAAAAAAAAAAAAAAAAAAAAAATGGTGTCATCTTCAAGCAGAAAGATGTAAAAATGATATATTAAAATCATTAAAATCAAACAGAGACATAGATAACTCTATTTCTCTGATTCAAATAATTTAAAAGATGGCGCCATCTTCAAGTTTTAAAACCATTCAAATAAAGTATTAAATATATAAATTTTAGCGAACAGACATACAACTTTGTAAATCATAAAAATAACTTTCTTAAAAGCTGAAGTTAAAATATACTTCATCATTAACCCTTTGTAGAACATGATATTCAGTCAACCAGCACTTCTGTGCTACCTGACCAGATGCTACATGTATAATGTTGACTGTAATTTATTTTTAGAAAATTGACTTCTAATTTTCTTAACCTGCAACACTTTCCAAGCTGGACTTGTCAAACTTTCATTTTAGCACAGTCCATTATCAATTATGGGGATATCAAGGTGAACTTTTTAGTATAAAGCCTTACTAGTGACAATGACTAATCTATTTCAGTTCCAACAGGTTAAGGGTTAATTTAATGGACTGTTCCAAATTCAAAACAAAAGGCATGTCAATTATATAGATTTATCACACAAAAGGGTTAATGATAGAATAAAGTAATAACTTTAAAATAAGATGAATATCTACAAGATAATTCTAAAAAAGATTAATTCTATCAATGAATGATAGAGTAAGAGTTGGCAGATTTTGTGAGAATTTATTCTACTAGTACTAAAGTAACATTTAGAAAAGTCTTGGTTAATAAGCATAATTAGCACTGAATAATGAATATCTCTGAAACAGACTCAAATTTAACCCTTAGACCAACATACCAAATGGCTTTACCATCAAATACTCTTGCTAATTTTCGATTTACTAATTGTTGTAAAAATATGCATTAAATACCAAATAAAAATGATCTTTAACATAAGAAAATTTGAATGAAATACTCTTTGCAAACATTGATATATAAAGCATATGCATATGGGACGTGTCTGAATAAGGGTTAAAGTTATTAATTTAAAAGCAGGGGCAATAGGTTACTGCAACCACTTTGTTTAATTAAAAAAATATAAATACATGTATATACATGTACAGAAATCCAAGCTGTTGATTAAGTCATACAAGTTATATTAAATACTGTGTTAAGCCAGGTTAATATTTAGGTATATATATATAAACCATGATTACCCTTCGTATCCTTGACCCCTCGCCTTCGCTCCATGCTGACTTACGACCCTGGTTTACTGAGCGTGACACTGCCCCACTTCCAGGACCTCCGAAAATTTTATCCCCATTTAAAACATTGTTATGCTCCACTGAAATAAACATACAACAGTTTTCTGAAGTTAAAAAAAAACTAGATTAAAGAATAACAAATGCACTTTGTTTAAAATTCTCAGCTTCATCTTTCAACCACTCAATTTCTTTTAACACTCCACTATAATTAGGAATTTTCAAAGAATGCATTTTCTTTTGCTTTTTGTTACACTGACCTTTCTATTCAAAATAAAACTGCTTTTGCAAGGTGTTTTTTTTCTCTCCCTATCAATTAATATGATTGTTTGCATATATATTTTGGTTCTATACTTAAAGCCATTTTTAGATGATTAACTGTAGTTTTTTGACAAGACGGAACTGGAAATAATTTTTCGAGATTAATGGTCCATTTGATGTAGGGTTACACCAATAACTTGTGTGCAAATTTCAGATCATCTGCTCACTCCGTTTTCCCTGAATAATTATTTTAATTATTCAAATTTTATGTTTTTAGGTCTATGGACCTCAGTGGAGTTCTTATAACAAAACAAAGAAGTCCTATTATTAGCACAGCTTTACTGTGAGCAATATTACTGTTATACATACATTGTATCCCCTTGCTGGTTTTGTGCTTCCATTTGGATAATAGTGATTTTTTATTTTGTCCTTAAACAGCAATGCATGATGGTATGAGAATGAAAACAAGATGGCACAATGGAGAAAACTCAATCAATCCCGTTAAGACAATGTCACACAGAATATATTAAACTTTTGCTTATATCTCCTGCTATTCTCCACACACTTACAGGGGTAACGAGTGCATAGTTTTAATTTAACGGTATATAATTGGTATTTGGTTTAATATAAATAAGGCAATTTGCAATTTTAATAATTCAAAATAAAAACCAAACATCCTGTTCATTTGCAAACATTATATTATGTTTAACTTCCCATTTATTAAGGTTTTTTTTCCTTCTTATATCCTGTCTTATAACTGGATCAAGAACATTAATGACAAAAGCAAATAGATATTGAGATGATTTATTTTCAACTTTTAAAACATATTATTTGTAAGTATGTAATCTTATAAGCATAACTGCTTACAAGCCAGTAATTATGAAACAAAACAAAAAGTTAGAATTCAGTTTCTGAAGCAAAAAAAGGAAGACAATATCATAAACTTCTATCAAGGCTATTGAGGTAATTATCTACCTAAATTAGACTCCTGAATTCTTCCTTGCTTCAACAACACAACATATGCATTACAGCAAAAATGACAAAATTCATACTGAGAAAACTATTTCTGGCAAACTTAATTTCCCAGTAACAGTCATAAATTTAGATAACTTCCTAGTAATTCTACCATTGCCTGTATTTATCAATATTTTAAAGTCTAAAATTAGAATTTAGATTTTAAATGCCAGAAGTAATTTTTCTATAATTTAACTGAATATGCAGGGATTGAAATGAAATTTTGCAGAAATGTACAGGGAACAGCTTTCAATAATTATGCAAAATTTAATTCAAATTAAAAAGGAACAAAACAAAAAGCCACTTGACGAAATTTGTTTGCATGCAAAATTTTAAGTTTAAATCTAAAACTTTTAACTACAGTAATTTTGTAAGATGCTGATGAACAATTACATACAGGCTAACCTGCATATTTATGCAGTTTAACTTCACTTTAGTACAAATGTATGTTGGGCTGTTCATTTTTGGAATTTTTACATAAAATGAATTCACTTAAAAATGGATGATGTGAAATTTACAGACTACTGGTAGACCACCAAACCCGGACGGCCCCGAAAATGCTTAATTTAGTATTTTCTTTGTCCAGTGGTTGTCAGTCACTTTTTATCAACAATAAATGCATGTTTCTTCTAAAATTAAGTAATTAAATTTATTTCAACCTCCGTAAATGGTAATATATTAATGTCTATTTCAAGAATGTTGACGTTGAAATATGGGAGTCAAGAAAACAATGCCTGACCTCATATACCAGCTATAATCATTTGCTTAGTAAACAATAGAATATCCAAAACTTCAGCATTTGTTGCTGAAATATTGTGTATCATGTTAAAAATCAAAAACCAAAACACCCAAGCTTTTATCTGAATTAAATCACATCATGTACATATCTGTCCGGACACATGGTACTGTAGTGTGGACAATTCAGGTAATTTTGATACCCTCCTTGTCGAGCCTCAGATATAGGTGTCAATACAATCAGAAATAAACAAACTAGTTTGTTAATTAGGAGAAGAACCTAGCTGAACTGTGTCAAATTTTTTGATCTCTAGGTTTAAAATTATGAAATCTGTACGGAAAAATGTTCAAAAAGTGTCCGGTTGATGGTCCCCGACCAGTAGGCATGAAATGCAAAATTGGTTTAAACATATTTATTTAAGCACAATTGCGAAAAAAGTTCTTTCAACTTATATTAAGAACTTTCGAGCCTGCTTCCTGGAACCAACCAGTACTGGTGTCATATGGAGAAACATGGTTGTGACCCGATTAGAGCTCGAAACCCACAATCCCTGGGTTGAGCGGCAGACACCTAAACCACTAGGCAACAAAATTAACTAAATATCAATGAATATCAAATTTACCTTCAAACTGTGAATTAGGAGAGTTCCTTTTCTTTGTACTACTGGCAGTGCCCGCTCTATTGAAATGCTTAAAGAAATATGGTGCTGGTACAAGAGGCTGTCTTTGATTATGTATTGAAGTGGCGGGAACGGTCTTTGGTCTGGTATGTTCTGAATGCAAGTCAAAATCTGCTAAAATCTCAGCCTTATTTGGATTTCTGTAGCTCCTGTGAAAATAAAACAATGCAGTTGTTGACAATAATATATAAAATTTATAAGCAATTGTGTAAATTGTATTTAACTAACACAATTGTTGTTGGTTTACAGTTATCAGATCTGTTAATCAATGTCACCAACAGAATCAAGAGGCCAAATTTGTTTTCTTCCTTGGCCTCATTAATGGTCTTTTCATCAAAGTTTGTCTGCGTTTGAAAATTATCTATAACATTCTAGAAACTTTAAAAAAGAAACATTGCCTTTTTTATAAGCACATGACTGTTATCCCAAATATATGGTGCTAAGAGGTACAGGTACATGTTTGATATTTAATTGCGGACATGTTTTAGATAGAACCTATGACCTTCTGCAAGCTTGAAGGCAAGTTTCTCCAATATCCTTGGTGGAATACAACCCTACAGCAGTGAAGAGACTACTGACTTTTTAATCAAGTTCTTTATTTATCATTAAGCCAAAAAAGTCTCTTCACCTTTGATAAGTTAATAAGAACATCACCATCCACACATGTAAAGTCAAGAATAGTTGTTTTATCTTACATTTTTCTCCCTATGAAACTGTGTATCAAATATGCCAATTCTTGGCCTTTAAAGTAAGGGTTCTGTTGTGTAACTAAATAACCTACCTGACTGTGAAGCCAGTGCTGTAATTTCCGGGTGTGAATGTTCCGGGTGTATAACTGCTGGGTCTTGTTACTGGCTTTCTTAATGGCAATAAACTGTGCAAAGACTCTACATTACCCTGTAATGATACAAAATATAATATGCTTACAATCAAATGAGAGTGGGTAATACATTTTACCCAGAGTCAAAGATTATGATTGCAAAATCATTTGCAAATAATAAATGTGTCATTTGGAACAAACTATCTTCTTCTATAAGAAACGAATCTAAGTTGTATAATTTTAAATTGTCAGTAAAAAAAAAATTCTTAATATTTATGTATCTCTTTGTAAAATATTTTTTTTTTAAATTCTATATATATGTAAACTATTAACTTCCTTAATTGTGGACAATGATATTCTTTACCATGCATCTAGGTCAATACAATAAAAACTTATGTACCACAAAGGAAATCAAGAGATTTAGTTCTCTTTTTTGTGTTGTAATTGTTAATGTGGTTTCATTTCTACTACATGTTTTGTGTTTTTGTTTTATCATGTATAAGAAATGTTGTACCATGTTATTGCATGATACTGAAATAAATCTATCTTACTTGTGGTACAAGAACACTTGCAAATGAAGGCAAAACAGGGAAAACCAGCCTATAATATGTTTTCCTTTTGAATAAGGACAAATGTGTAAAATTTACTTATTTTCTTATTAAACTAATTCACAGACTTTAACCTAGTCTAGTAAAGGGAAGGTACTAACTTGGCTCAATTGCCTAGCTTTCCACTCCCTCAACCCCCCTCCCCCCCCCCCCCAGCAAAAAAAAACAGAATAATGGTTTATAATCACAAAACTTTTAAGAGCTGACAAAATAAATTCCTTTATATCACTGATTATAGATATTATGGACAATAACCAATGAACTAAATAAGGAATAAGGTTGACCTTCATTATTGAAAAAGAGGAAGAAAGTCCGCAAAATTTTTGAATAAAAAGATCTATAGGACTTGTGCCAATCATGTTCATAATCACAGAAAAGAAGTGCATGAAGTTTCAATCCATTCCCTTGAGAAATTATGGAGATACCAGCTTACTCCCAAAAACTTAACCGAGAATTTCTAAGACGAAAAAGGGGTATAAATATGCAAACAAGAGGGCCATGATGGCCCTGAAGTCGCTCACCTGTATAAAGGCCCCCCGAGCGGGGCCAGTTTAAACCCCAGGGCTTTTATTTGAACAAACTTGGTAGACACCCATTAGAAGATGTTTCATGCTAAACATCTAAGGTCTAGCTGGTCAAGTTTTATCTTTAAACATATAGTTAAAAACAATGACACACCTGGGGCAGGGCCAGTTTTGACCAGAGGGCTTTTATTTGAACAATCTTTGTAGACACTTACTAGAAAATGTTTCATGCTTAATATCTAAACTCTAGCTATTCGGGTTTTTTCAAAGAAGATTTTTTAAGTTTTTGCTATACACATATAAGGAAAATCAATGTCACCAGGGCTGGGCCAATTTTGACCCCAGGGCTTTTATTTGAACAAACTTTGTAGACACTCACTAGAAGATGCTTCATGCTTAATATCTAAACTCTAGCTATTTGAGTTTTTTCAAAGAAGATTTTTTAAGTTTTTGTTAAACACATATAAGGAAAATGAATGACCCCCGGAGCGGGGCCAATTTCGACCCCGGGGCTTTTATTACAACAAACTTGGTAGACACTCACTAGAAGATGTTTCAAGCTTAGTATCTAAACTCTAGCTATTTGTTTTTTTCAAAGAAGATTTTTTTAAGTTTTTGTTATACACATATAAGAAAAATCAATGACCCCCGAGGCAGGGCCAATTTTGACCCCAGGGCTCTTATTTGAACAAACTTGGTAGACATCCATTAGAACATGTTTCATGCTAAATATCTTAGCTCTAAGTCTTTGGGTTCTTTACAAGAAGATTTTTAAGTTTTTGCTATACACATATAAGGAAAATCAATGACCCCGGGGCGGGGCCAATTTTGACCCCAGGGCTCTTATTTGAACAAACTTGGTAGACATCCATTAGAACATGTTTCATGCTAAATATCTTAGCTCTAGCTTTTTGGGTTCCTTAAAAGAAGATTTTTTAAGTTTTTACTATATGCATATAGGGAAAATCAATGACTCCCTGGGGCAGGGCCAATTTTGACCCCAGGGCTTTTATTTGAACAAACTTGGTAGACACCCATTAGAGGATGTTTCATGCTAAATATCTTAGCTATAGGTCTTTGGGTTCTTTAAAAGAAGATTTTTTAAGTTTTTACTATATGCATATAGGGAAAATCAATGACCCCCTGGGGCGGGCCAATTTTGACCCCAGGGCTTTTATTTGAACAAACTTGGTAAACACCCATTAGAGGATGTTTCATGCTAAATATCTTAGCTCTAGGTCTTTGGGTTCTTTAAAAGAAGATTTTTTAAGTTTTTACTATATGCATATAGGGAAAATCAATGACCCCCTGGGGCGGGGCCAATTTTGACCCCAGGGCTTTTATTTGAACAAACTTGGTAGACACCCATTAGAGGATGTTTCATGCTAAATATCTTAGCTATAGGTCTTTGGGTTCTTTAAAAGAAGATTTTTTAAGTTTTTACTATATGCATATAGGGAAAATCAATGACCCCCGGGGCGGGGCCAATTTTGACCCCAGGGCTTTTATTTGAACAAACTTGGTAGACACCCATTAGAGGATGTTTCATGCTAAATATCTTAGCTCTAGGTCTTTGGGTTCTTTACAAGAAGATTTTTTAAGTTTTTACTATATGCATATAGGGAAAATCAATAACCCCCTGGGGCGGGGCCAATTTTGACCGCAGGGCTTTTACTTTAACAAACTTGGTATACACCCATTAGAGGATGTTTCATGCTAAATATCTTAGCTCTAGGTTTTTTGGTTCTTTACAAGAAGATTTTTAAGTTTTTGCTATACACATATAAGGAAAATCAATGACCCCCGGGGCGGGGCCAATTTTGACCCCAGGGCTCTTATTTGAACAAACTTGGTAGACATCCATTAGAACATGTTTCATGCTAAATATCTTAGCTCTAGCTCTTTGGGTTCTTTAAAAGAAGATTTTTTAAGTTTTTACTATATGCATATGGGAAAATCAATGACGCCCTGGGGTGGGGCCAATTTTGACCCCAGGGCTTTTATTTGAACAAACTTGGTAGACACCCATTAGAGGATGTTTCATGCTAAATATCTTAGCTCTAGGTCTTTGGGTTCTTTAAAAGAAGATTTTTTAAGTTTTTACTATATGCATATAGGGAAAATCAATAACCCCCTGGGGCGGGGCCAATTTTGACTGCAGGGCTTTTATTTGAACAAACTTGGTAGACACCCATTAGAGGATGTTTCATGCTAAATATCTTAGCTATAGGTCTTTGGGTTCTTTAAAAGAAGATTTTTTAAGTTTTTACTATATGCATATGGGAAAATCAATGACGCCCTGGGGTGGGGCCAATTTTGACCCCAGGGCTTTTATTTGAACAAACTTGGTAGACACCCATTAGAGGATGTTTCATGCTAAATATCTTAGCTATAGGTCTTTGGGTTCTTTAAAAGAAAATTTTTTAAGGTTTTACTATATGCATATAGGGAAAATCAATGACCCCCTGAGGCGGGGCCAATTTTGACCCCAGGGCTTTTATTTGAACAAACTTTCATGCAAAATATCTAAGCTCTAGCTCTTTGGATTTTTTAGAAGAAGATATTTTAAGTTTTTTCTTTTGGTTGCCATGGCAACCAGAGTTCTGCATGGAATTAAATTCTTTGAACAACTTTCAAAGGTGACCACCAAAGGAACATTCATGTGAAGTTTGGATGAAATTGGCTTAGTGGTTTATGAGGAGATGTCATTTAAAGTAAAAGTTTACGGACTACGGACAGACGATGGACGGCCGGACGCCGGACGAAAAACGATCACAAAAGCTCACCCTGTCACTTTGTGACAGATGAGCTAAAAAGCAAATCAGAGTTATGGGACTTAATCACAAAGAAGAAGTGCATGAAGTTTCAAAATATTTCTTTCAGAAGTTATGAAGATACCAGCTTACACAAAAAAAATTAACCACAGGGATGCTGATGAAGACAAAAGGGTAACACCGCATTTGCTTGAGTAATCTGCGAATAGTCAAGCTAATAACAAGAGGGCCATGATGGCCCTGAGGTCGCTCACCTGTATATAGGCCCCCCCCACACCTCCGGGCTAATTTTTACACAAGGGCTTTTATTTGTTTATTTGAACAGACTTGGTAGACACCCATAAGAAGATGTTTCATGCTAAACATCTAAGTCCTAGCTCATTGGGTTTTTTAAAAGAAGATTTTTAAAGTTTTTATAGTTAAAAACAATGACACCCCTGGGGCAGGGCCAGTTTTGACCCCTGGGCTTTTATTTGAACAAACTTTGTAGATATTTACTTAAAGATGTTTCATGCTTAATATCTAAACTCTAGCTATTTGGGTTTTTTCAAAGAAGATTTTTAAGTTTTTGCTATACACATATAAGGAAAATCAATGACCCCCCCCCCCCCCGGGCGGAGCCAGTTTTAACCCAGGGCTTTTATTTGAACATACTTGGTAGACACCCATTAGAACATGTTTCATGCTAAATATGTTAGCTCTAGCTCTTTGAGTTCTTTAAAAGAAGATTTTTTAAGTTTTTACTATATGCATATAGGGAAAATCAATGACCCCCTGGGGCGGGGCCAATTTTGACCCCAGGGCTTTTATTTGAATAAACTTGGTAGACACTCATTAGAAGATGTTTCATGCTAAATATCTTAGCTCTAGCTCTTTGGGTTCTTTAAAAGAAGAAATTTTAAGTTTTTACTATATGCATATAGGGAAAATCTATGACCCCCTGGGGCGGGGTCAATTTTGACCCCAGGGCTTTTATTTGAACAAACTTGGTAGACATGCACTAGAAGATGTTTTATGCCAAATATCTAAGCTCTAGCTCTTATGGTTCTTTAAAAGAAGAAATTTTAAGTTTTTACTATATGCATATAGGGAAAATCGATGACCCCCCGGGCGGGGCCAATTTTGACCACAGGGCTTTAATTTGAACAAACTTGGTAGACACTCACTAGAAGATGTTTCATGCTTAATATCTTAGCTCTAGCTCTTTGGGTTCTTTAAAAGAAGATTTTTAAGTTTTTACTATATGCATATAGGGAAAATCAATGACCCCCTGGGGCGGGGCCAATTTTGACCCCAGGGCTTTAATTTGAACAAACTTGGTAGACACTCACTAGAAGATGTTTCATGCTTAATATCTTAGCTCTAGCTCTTACGGTTCTTTAAAAGAAGATTTTTAAGTTTTTACTATATGCATATAGGGAAAATCAATGACCCCCCGGGGCGGGGCCAATTTTGACCCCAGGGCTTTTATTTGAACAAACTTGGTAGACACTCACTAGAAGATGTTTCATGCTAAATATCTTAGCTCTAGCTCTTTGGGTTCTTTAAAAGAAGAATTTTTAAGTTTTTACTATATGCATATAGGGAAAATCAATGACCCCCTGGGGCGGGGCCAATTTTGACCCCAGGGCTTTTATTTGAACAAACTTGGTAGACACTCACTAGAAGATGTTTCATGCCAAATATCTAAGCTCTAGCTCTTAGGGTTGTTTAAAAGAAGATATTTAAAGATTTTTCTTTCGGTTGCCATGGCAACCAGAGTTCTGCATGGAATTAAATTCTTTGAACAATTTTTAAAGGTGACCACCAAAGGAACATTCCTGTGAAGTTTGGATGAAATTGGCTCAGTGGTTTATGAGGAGATGTCATTTAAAGCAAAAGTTTACGGACGGACGGACGACGGACGGACGACGGACGGACGGACGCCGGACGAAAAGCGATCACAAAAGCTCACCCTGTCACTTTGTGACAGGTGAGCTAAAAATGCATAACAATCTTCAATGATTTTTTACAATTCTTCAAAAAAATTCTGTTATATGTACCTTACAAACTTTTTTGAAACATTCTTCTATCCCGCCAAGATCATTGCGTTCATTGGCCATTCTCTGTACCTCCTCCACGAGAGCGTCAGACAGCGGCATGTTCGAAATATCCCAGCCGAAATGGTCCGCAAAACTCATCACTCCTGTTAAATTCTCCGATCTTGTCACACCATTATTTATTATACCAGTATAATTCCTAGGATTTCGTCTGTTTAAAAAAAGAAGTATTATCGTACACAAAATATCTCATATCAGTTTAAAAAAGCAATATTTTATCATTATTCAGTAGAAATTATATTTTAGCTGTCATCTGTTAAAGAAAAAGAAAAAACTTCATTCATACAAGATAACTTTGTAACAAAAAAGCATCTGTAATCAGTTGTTATTTAATAATTATAAACTAATGTTCCCGAGAAAGAACTGTATTGTAACATTTCTGGGATGATAAGCCTATAAAAAAGATATAGATAATGATAACTAGGAAACCTAAATTATCTTTCATACATTACTTCTGCTGTTTCCAGTGTAATACAACTGCATAATGCCACTATCTTCAATCTTTTTTATGCATTTCTGTACAGGCTTCCAATAGGTTATAATTTGACTTTTGCAAAAGTGAGTGCAGAAAAAAATGTATTTTCCTTTTATCAAAGCAAAATAATACAGATAATATTCCATGTATGTACTCTAGGCTTAATGAGGGTCCATCGATCCACCCTTTCAGGCACTGAGAGTAACAGACCCCAAGTAATATATCACTGTCAAAAATATTGAATTCATATAAAATCATTCTCTTTTACATACTTGATGACATCATCAAAATGTTTAGGATCGGCCGACTTTGCTGGGCCCCATTTCCTATGTTTTAACTGTTTTGGATGTGAACATCTAGGTGTAGAACTCTCCTCTCCATATATATCTGTTGATACAGGTTGATGTTTCTGAAACAAGAGAATCACAAGCATTTATAAATTGCTTATCTGTTAGAAATTTTAAGTTAAAAATTCTATGTTAAAAAGGGGCATAGCTTTATATTATAATAATATTGCTCACAGAATTATGCCCCCTGTCTAACCTTGTCATGATCGTCAAGTATTTATGTTGAAAACTTTTGAAATGTTTGAATAATGGGCTTATTAAAGTTTCTGCACAAGACTTTATAATGCCTCAGTGATCATTGTACAGTCATGTAGCTTGATTTTTTCTTCCAAACAGACATACTAATAAAAAATAGTCAATAAAAATACAAAATTAATGTAGTCATAGAGTAATAATTTTGTTTTAGTTTTTTTGGTCTGGTTTCCAGTTACACTATCACTGTAAAGGTCGTGTGTCAACATTCCAGCTTTACTAAGATGAAGATGAACCACTTCAAGTATTATTTCTTGCGTAAGCTGGCTGTTGGGAAGAACAACTAACCTTCTGTAAGCTAGCTGGATAATTCCTGTCAAAAAAAATCCCTTAGCAGCCTTTAAACATACAGAAGTGAGAGGCAGGCAACCCAAATCAATGGCCTTAACCTCTTGAAAATCCTGAGTATATTTTGTCCTATCTCCCTTATAACATTGACACTAATGCATCGGGTCAAAGGTTATGTGGAGATATCTCTATATACAGAAAGATTCATATGTCATATTTTACAACAATCAAATTTATAGTCCTGCTTGAGTAAGACCTTAAAACTAACCAACCCATCAAAATAATAAATGAGCATTTTTACAAAGTTGTTTAACTTACCTTCAATAGTTTCCCCCTAAATCCTTTGGTTTCTTCTTTTATTCTAAGCAGTTCCACCATTTTCTGTAAAACAATGTCAAAAAGATTATAATGACATTAATTAAGTCTTGTTTTATTTTATTTAAGCAATAAATTTAGTCACAAAATTCTCCATTCCTTTGCCCTATTTTTCTCTCGTTTTTTTTTTTTTTTTTTTTTTTTTCCCTCTTCTTTTTACACTCTACTTTTGTACATTATGTGCTTACAGAACAAATCTAATGCTAACCAGTCTAGAGGCAATAACCACCATGTTAAAGCCAGGCCAGCCAATTAGACAAGCCTCTATGTACTGTGAAGGGATCAATTTCACTTTTTAAAGTCAAATTTCTTACAAGCTGCAACGGAGAGTGCAAAGCTCAAGCAGAAATACTTTAATACATGTAACTATATGTATAATTATCAAGAATTACAAACAAGAGACCAGGCTAATCTCAGTCCTCAATAGTAAAAGCGACTAATAATGTACAAGTGTTAATGAAGGGAGATTCCATTTAAAATACATGACATAACTGTAAGTCTTCGATAGTGACTACCAAACATGATCACAACACATGTATGAAGCTTAAAGTAAAAAACTTCCAGTAATTCTGATTATACAAAAAACTCTCCAGGAATATAACAACTCCCAAATGACAATGGGCCTTGGACTGAGACCTCTAACTATGATCTTAAAGAACAAGCAAATATTTTCAATTATTGATAAGTAAAAGTTATGCAAGAAATTTCACCCAAAACTTTAACTATAGAGTTACCCACACACTAACACTGATGTCTGGGTGAGTATTATAGTCTCACTTTTCTTCCAATTGTTCAGTTAACAAGAGCTGTCGGTAGGACAGCATGCTCGACTATTCTTAGTGCTTGATAGTAAAAAAAATGCCTGATACAGTTACCTCCTCCTGTTTACAGGTTGGGGTCATGATGGTGAACAAGTGTGCAAAGTTTCAAAGCCATATGTCAATGGACTTTGAAAATATTTGAACTATTACAAAAACTTTAACATAAATTCTAAGTCGAAAAAGGGGCATAATTCTGTCAAAATGCTTGATAGAGTTACCTCCTCCTGTTAACAGGTTGGGGTCATGATGTTGAACAAGTGTGCAAAGTTTCAAAGCCATATGTCAATGGACTTTGAAAATATTTGAACTATTACAAAAACTTTAACGTAAATTCTAAGTTGAAAAAGGGGCATAATTCTGTCAAAATGCTTAATAGAGTTACCTCCTCCTGTCTACAGGTTGGGGTCATGATGGTGAACAAGTGTGCAAAGTTTCAAAGCCATATGTCTATGGACTTTGAAAATATTTGAACTATTACAAAAACTTTAACGTAAATTCTAAGTCGAAAAAGGGGCATAATTCTGTCAAAATGCTTGATAGAGTTACCTCCTCCTGTCTACAGGTTGGGGTCATGATGGTGAACAAGTGTGCAAAGTTTCAAAAGCCATATGTCAATGGACTTTGAAAATATTTGAACTATTACAAAAACTTTAACGTAAATTCTAAGTCGAAAAAGGGGCATAATTCTGTCAAAATGCTTGATAGAGTTACCTCCTCCTGTCTACAGGTTGGGGTCATGATGGTGAACAAGTGTGCAAAGTTTCAAAGCCATATGTCAATGGACTTTGAAAATATTTGAACTATTACAAAAACTTTAACATAAGTGGTTACGCCGACGCCGACGCTCGGGTGACTGCAATAGCTCTACTTATTCTTATCGAATAGTCGAGCTAAAAAGGAGAAGCAAATATCAGTTATTTGGAATTCACTAAGGTGCCTTACAATGTACATACTAGAACAGGAGTAGGAGCAACACTATACTCAGTGAGTGCAATTAGAAAAGCAAATCTTTGAGAAAATAAAGGGGCAAAATTATGTCAAACTTTACGACAGCATTATTTTTAGACAGTTATAAACAGGAATTCAACATTTAAAAGCAATACTCAAAATTAATGAGTTTAAAGGTGCAAAAAACTAAAAAACCACGGTGTGACAGACTTGGACCTTGTTGCAAAGTCCTTCATATAAATGAAAAAAAAAGTCAAGCTAATCAATGGACAAACTGAAATTTCTTTATAGCATGGTAATAAAATAATTCTTTATAAAAGAAATTCCAAGTCTGTAAAAATCAATAGAATTTTTGCTTTAAAATTGATTTTTAAGAATTTTTTGTTTAAAAACTTAACAATGCTAATATTGTACAATATTTAAAGCACACACTAATATGATTAATTTATTATTGACACTTATCCAATTAGTGTACAGCTGTAAATATTACATTAATCATGGTTGTTATAGGGGTATTTAAGTATGGAAGAATTAATATTGATTTTATCAACAATAGATGATCAGTTTTAACAAATGTTTCGAGTACATTGAAGCAAGAAGTACTGAATTATTCATGAAAATGAAAACAAAAAGAATAGTTACAAGATGACTGTTCTTAATATGAATAGCTAATGTTTTATAAGAAATATGAATGCCAGATATTAGTCATGCCAATTGTGGACATGAAAGGCATTATTTTCTGTAAGTCCAGTATTTTAAAGAAATTATGGGGTAACATCATAGAATATAATGTGACCTTGAAGCTGTACACTTCTTAATGTGTGCACAAATTGCACAGTGGATAAACCAGTCTATACAAAGAAAATTTGTTTGTTTCAAGTGAATATTGTTTGTCTCTTGCTAATTCTTTTTTATATTTTCACTTTTGAAAATAACAAACTGTTTTTTCTAAGACAGATAAAGTCTGTATTGCTTATATGCAAACAGATATATCTTTATAAATGAGGGTAGAAAGATTGGACACTTGCCATTGAGAGCATGGATATTGACCATAGAGGGTATGTATGTACATTATCCATGGAGGATGTGGACATCGGCCATGGAGGGCATGGACATTGGCCATGGAGAGAATTATGGACATTGGCCATGCAGAACATGGACAACATCCATAGTTAGGTATCCCAAAACAGCTTAGACTAATATCCATGTCAATTTTGTTGATGATTAATGTTTTGATACTCCATGGACAAAAGACCTTGCCAAAATGAATGTTAAACATGGACTATCTGCAGCTGGCTACAGTGTGTCCATGTTTTTGGAAGTAAAATACAACCAGTCTACTTCCTAATTTTGCAAGTAAAGTACCAATCTCCTACACATTGATCTCCCCTTACCAGTACAGAGATCATTTTTAAAGTTCATTAAGTCAGCATGTGCTACTTTTCAGAGCACGTCTGGTAAGGCTGAACAAGCATGCATGCATGGTTGCCTGGCTCTACAATGGCTACAAATAATTTGATTGTAAAAATATTAAATAAACATACATATCTTCTGTCCTCCGCTGGGGTTCGTATTTTCTGTGACACTCCAGTACGTGCACGAGTAATCTTTGTTTCTCTGTTGGCTGGTGGGTTCACATTCCCCTCCTAAATATAAAATATTCAAACATCATTATAAAGGGGAATATTACTTAATTTTCAAGTGTGACGGGAAGAGGTGGGAATCTACTATAAATTGACTGCTCTCACAGGGCTGGGCATTTACTCTGAGTTTGAGTTTTGTTTTGGGTTTTTACGTCACATCGACACAGTATAGGTCATATCGCGACGCTCCAGCTTTACTGGTGGAGGAAGACCTCAGGTGACCTTCCGTGCATTATTTCAGGCACGAACGGGCACCTGAGTAGAACCACCGACGTTCCGTAAGCTAGCTGGATAGCTTCCTCACATGAAAGAATCCAAAGTCCCTGTTGGGATTTGAACCCACAGCGGTGAGGGGCAAGTGGTTTGAAGTCAATGACCTTAACCACTCGGCCATGGACGCCCCACTCAGAGTTTGAGTATTCAAAAGTAAAAGTTAACACTATTGTTACATTTGACTGGTACATAATGTAAACAGTATATAGGCAATAGTAACTGGTACACTGGAATTTCCGAATGAGCTTTTCATTTTCTCAATTATAATAAAATCTTTGTATAAATTATCAATTTTCAAATTAATACTTATATTTAGTCCAACAATAAACAATATTAAAATATACAAACCAGTCCAAGATATATTCCAGTCATGTTTCGTGGCTGGTTTCTACTGGGAACACTTGCTGAGTAATACGGCATATTTCTGGTAACTGGAAGGGCCGATGTTGGATGCAAATTCCTCATCATCACAATATTATTGTCCGTATACATCTTTATCGAGTCTTCGTACAATCAGCTCTTTGAATATTTAATTATTTTCACAGCCAAGTAGAGCTAGGTCTTTATCCCTACTTAATTCATTCAATTTTTTTACCCCTGTTTTTGTCTCAGGTATATTAAATCTCAAATACACTTAGGAATCTCTGGATTACCAAACATGCTTAATGCATTTAACGGCCCAAACTTTAATCAATAAAACTGTCATACATTCTCTTTCACCGATTTTTTTTTTGTTCAAATCTGGTTAATTGATTTCCCATAACTCAAGATCAATAAATCCAAACTGACGACACATTTATTTAAGTACGCAGTCTCTTTTCTGTTGCAATTAATTAAATTCCTTCACAAAAGTTCTTGATGACAGCTTGACCCTGGCAACTGAAATGAATGAAAGAATGCAGTAATTAAAAATTGTTCCACCATGAAGCAATAATAACAATATTAAACCCAGACCTAATCTAGTTTCAATTATTTTCCTTCAAAAGAAAAATATATTAAACAAAATCAGGGGTATAAAAAAAACCTTTACATACCAGGCTTAAATATATGCATTTTGTTTCCAAATATAAACTCTATTAACTTAAAAGGCCATTTACAATAAAGCTTTATCGTGTTAATTTCTCTCTTCCATAATAAAGAAAATAACATTTTCATTTAAACGTAAAAGTGTATTCAACTTTTTCATTTTGTTTAGTTTCTTTTGGCTAAAATACTTTTGAAATTCTAATTGCCACTTAATAACTAATATATAATACCCTACAAAGGGCTTAAAGTAAGCGCTGGTTCATTTTTTCTCCCAATAACAAGGAATTAAATCTGAATAAATAATTCACGGCTATTATTTTGGTAGTATTAACAATTGTAATGACAAAGTAATTTTTAGCTTATTGACTTTATTCACTTACTTGGCACATGATCGAGCAAATTTACAACAATTACTGTGGGTATATCATGCAACTGTGTACTGCAATATACACCTTAAATATCAAAAATTGTATCAAATAAATTATGTCACTAGGTCATTAAAAACATGAACCATGCTGTTGAACCATAGTTTTGTTGTTTTTTTCTCAAGAAAAGTATTATTTTGATTTTTCATAACATACGTGAGTATTATTTTGATTTTCAATAACATATATGAGAAAATAAATGGTAACATCTTATTCTTGCTTTCAGCTGAGACTAAAATTTAAAAAAAACTATATACAGATTCAGGCTCTTTCATAAAGATACCAGTAAATTACTAATGGGTTGAAAAAAAAACATTTTTGTCTCTATTCCATTATATGACTTTCAATAGCATTCAAAAAATTTGTATGAACAGATCAAAAGACATCTTAGTGTTTTTACTTGTTATTTTACAAGTAAAAAGTCAATATTTATTCAATAGACATAACAATTAAAGACAATTTACATTTTTTTTATAACTTCTTCAATGACATATCAGTATTGTAAATATCTATCAAAGAATAAAAAGAAACTTTGAATGGACATATTTATCATAATGGATATATCATTAGATGAAAGAATTTTTTTTGTATGGAAAAAAAAGACCCATGATTCATCATAGTATCAGAGTTTCAGATTTTACAGGTACACCCCTTTCTTCAATACAGACTAACCTGTACTAATTATACCATCTCCAAAACAAAGATGATATCAAAAAACCTATCACTCAAGACAACCATATTGTTTACATTTTGTTGTAATTGGTTATAACAGGTGCACTATAACTGTTGTGAGGGACCACCTGTCAGTTAAAGGGACTCCACTGAGGTTTTTTGACATGATGAGACTGGATATAATTTTTCCATATTAATGTACAATTTAATGTAGGTCGAGACCAATAACTTGTGTGCAAAATTTCTGATCATTTGCTCACTCTGTTCTTCCACAATAAATATCCTTTACATGAAAATTGTTCCAAAATTGACGTGTTGCAAATCTGGCTAACAATACCACCAAACTACGCTTGAGTATTAGTTTTAATTATCTTTACCATATTTTTCAATCTTATTAGCCCCAGCCGATTTATGATTAAGAAATTCAAATTTCAAGTTTTTAGGCTTTTGGACCTCTGTGGAGTTCCTTTAAAATCATTTTTCACATTCTAAAGACTACTTTTAAAAGCGAGATTAACTGTATAATTTTATAAGCTAAACATTTTTCAAATCATACCCGTAGCTATGAAGGCCTACTTAGATAACTTGATTTAATGCTGGACTTAAATGCAGGCCTTTTTCCTATATTGTATTTCTATTAGGTTTATAAATACATTATAAAAATTTTAAGTAAACATGCACATAGATTAAACTCTGCATTTATTTTGCCTATCTAATGACAGTAGGGATATTGACATGTCCATGAAATTACCAGAACACCAGTCTGTACATCTGAATACAGTCTGACCGGACGCAGAAAACCTTTGCCACCAGGAGACTGCACATCACTGCATCATCCGACATTCACCATTCTATAACCCAGGTTTGCACCTGTCCAACCCGGCCAAAAACCCTTAAAATTTGTCTCGACAAGTCCATTGAAAAATCTATCAGGTCCAGGGTTAATTTAAGCATTTTGATAACAAAGTCCATCATAATGAATATTTTGAAGAGTAAGTAAGATTAACAGCAAGTCTATTCTATAATTTTAGCTTGGCAAAAGTTGGTAAAATTTAAAATAGCCACAGGTTGATTTCATTAAAAGTATTTACTGACTTAATTAAGCAACCAGTGCAGACCATGAATGGATGATCTTGGTCTGCACTGGTTTACATTGGTAGATTCATAATGCCACTGGCCGGCTTAAGGCTCAGTAGACCAAACTGAACAGGTGCATTTTTTATGATGATTCTTGGCATAATTCCATAACTTATAATTATCTAAGTGATAAACATTAATACTTAAATGCATGATTTTACATTATCTCCAGTTGACCCATTTGTATGTATAATTTATAATCGTAAATGAACATATTCGAAAAGACTAGCACTTCTCTGTTATATAATTCAACACCTTTTGTCAATAAACACTTAGTTCATTAAATTGTTTTCCTGCATGTCATTTTTCAATAAAAACAATACAATCAATTCCAGTATACAAAAACAAATAAATGTGTTAAACATGTAAACACATAGATTAGTTACAGCTATTTAAATACTTACAATGACATTTCACTTTAAATATTTTTATTCAAATCCATTGACAAGCACTTTAGAAAAACCAAACAAACCACTAGAAAACTGGTAGTGCAAATAAACGATATTCTGCAATATCATATGATGGCAACGTTTTAATAGGTTTTTGGTCATTTTATAAAATAGAAAGAAACAGAATTCCTAAAGAACATCCAAAAAAAGCAAAATTTAAAAATGTTGCAGGCTTGTTTTGATTGGGTCTGTTCATGGGTGGTACTGGAAAGTGCAAGATACCCTTCATGCCCCCTAGGCTTAAAGGCACATTATGCCTCAGAAACAAATAAATTTTAATTTACTTCTTTAGAAAGGGCAAAAATGAATTTTATAAAATTAAGATAATGGTTCTGGAGAATGTCAGATGCTTGTTACCAACTTACCATAAGAAAGTAACAATAAATGTGAAATAATTTGTCATAAATGTAGCAAAAATTAGACAAAGCAGTATTTTTGACTTCCATTCACTATATTAACTATGCTTATTGCCAAAAAGCAACGGACGAAAAAGATGTTTAAGGCAATTGGCCTGAATGAGATAATTTTTTTATTCTTTAAAAGTGCACCAAAGTTAAAAAAAACTTTGAGAAATAAAAGCATTTGTGAGGCATAATGGCTCTTTGAGCAGAATACACATTTAACATGAAACAGAAAATTTGGAATTTGGAAACATTTGCAGATGTGTTCATATAGTGGTACATAATTATGCTTTATTCAGAAAAATGTTTAAAAGTTTTAATTTAAAGGAAACCTGCCAGTCAGACAATGCTTTAAGTTCTTGATAGTAATATTATCTAGAAATATAGATAATGTAGATTTTTGCAAAAGAAAATACCCCAAAATCCATGGATAAGAGATATGCATGGGTCTTTGATCATTTAAGCGCTAGACATACAAGTACAGGGTGTATTATCCAAAAACATGCAGGCAGGAGCCAACAAGTAAATTGGCTCCAAAATTATAAAATTGCCCCAAACTTATGAAAAGTATGACTATAATGGAATCTCCAGTCTAAATTTAGTAAATGGGAAAGTACACATTTGGTTTTCCATCTACAGCTTCTGCAAACTGCTTCTAATTATCTCAAAACACATAGCAAAACAGTGCTTGACGTGCATCAGTATCAAATTCTTCTTGTAATATCTAGTTCCAAATTTACAGGTTTTTGATTTAATTGGCACGTTCCTTTCTAAGGATTAACAGTTACTGTTCTATCAAGAACTTATAATACTTCATGTTTATAATACATAATTTATTAAAGCACAACCATTTTGACATTTACTGCCCAATAAAAGATGATCATCACAGATGTGACCACATACATGTATAAGGCACCTGGGACATAATTTAACAGGACAAGTCATAAGCACCTGTTTGTGGAGCAATATCGTCATCAGCGGTATGTATTTCTTTTCCCACCCTCCTATATCCTAACTCCCCCTCTAACAACACACACATACAAAAATCAAACAGAAATAACATGAAATTATAAAATAAATGTTGTATTTAGATCAAATAGAATCTAATATAGAAATAATATACATTGTCGTATTGCTTATGAGGTTCAAAAGCAAAGAATGTGATTGAATGGCTAAAAATCGGCGAATAAAAACTAGGTAAAATTTACGATTAACAAGCATAAACAAACATTTGGATCGAATTTAATTGAGAACGACGCAGACCGTATCCAATGTAAACGTTTTTAGAATCCACTTGATTTCATCTTCAGAACGAAAAATTTACAATAATTTGGTATATTATGATACAAAAGATAAATTAAGGCAAATAAACAATATATTATCTCATATCAAAAGCTGTTATAAACAAAACAAAACCTGATAAAAACTCAGTTCGCTTGCCATTCGCAGTTGCTCCCATTAAACACGCACCTGCTAAATCTCGAGTGATTTGAGTAACCAATCAAAGGTCAAATTTAAGTTGACACGTGGCGGGAAAATTTGACAGCTCTACGTGTCTCATGAATCCTGTGTATGTTTTGTTCAAATACCAACTTGAAACTTATTAAGTTGGGTATTAAATTATTGTAATATTCAGGAAAAAGTTTGGCTGATTTAGAATAGTTGTGCAAATCAGGTACGTATATTAATATACGTACCTGTGCAAATAGATCTAGGTGCTTTGGCTTTTTTTTTGCTGGTTGGATTGAAAAAAAAACAACAACAAAAAACATGTATTGTGAAAGTTTTGAGATTGTTTACACATATACATTGGACTGAAAATACGTGTGAAAATCAATTTATATCTCCTCAAAACGAATATGGAATGGATTGTCATAATACTTTGGCTTAACAATCTTTGGGACAAGACATAAAAGCAGATTTAATTGACCTTTAACTTACTTTGACCTTCACAATAAAGTGAATTTTGCTACCATTGGCCATATATTTGCTATTTATTTATGGTTTTGATTAAAAAGAGCACTTATAACAAAACCAATATGTTAAGTATTTCAAATTATGAAATATTATCTTGACCTTTAGTTGACCTTGACCATCAATGTCAAACCATTGAAATTTGCTTAAATTATCATAACTTTGTTATTTCTTTATAGATTTGATTTAAACTTGAACAAAAGAACAGATATGATAAAATTGACCAGGTTGAACTATTCTGATATGACCTTGATCTTAAATTGACTTTGACAGTCAAGGTCAGATAATTGAAATTTGTTTAAAATATCATTTTTTTTTTATTTACAGATTTGATTTATGCATGGAAAAAAGAACACATTTGACTAAACCCACATATTGAATTATTCTAATATAACATTGACCTCTATTTGACCTTAACTGTCAAATTATTGAAATTTGCTAAAATTGTCATTCCTGGGTTATTTATTTATAGGTTAGATTCATTCTTGCATGAAACAACACTTATAGCAAATAGACATGATGATTAATTCAAATTTGACCTTGACTCTTAAATGGCATTGACCATCAAGGTCAAATATTGAATTTGATTTACATTTTGCTGAATAATATGTTTTTCTAGTATTATATTTTACTACAGTATTCTTCCTCTGATGTGTTTGACCTAAGGAAAAGTCAAGCAGGTATATGTCCCCAATGACTGTAAGCATGCCACCAATGCTCCTGTCTATAAGAAAAGCCCAAAATGTTAACCCAGTAATTACAGGCCTATCTCATTAACATGTATTGTCTCAAAGCTTATGAAGCATATAATGGTATGCAATATCAGGTTTTTCTATGACAAGCATAATATCCTCAGCCCTTTTCAACATAGTTTCAGATAAAAACAATGGCTGTAAAACCAAGCTCATCAGTTTCTTTTAGGAAATCCATGACAATTTAAAGCAAGGCCAACAGATCTTCAGCAAAACATTTGATAAAGATGACCATCACAAACTCCTCCTTAAACTTCATAGAGTAGATGTTAACTCTGAGCTCATCTTATGGACCAGGCCATTCTTATATGGTCAGTCCAGACATCAAAATTAGGACATTAGGCCATCCTTAAAAAAATGTTTGTTTGCAGTAACCCGACCGACTCACAAAATTTGCCCCTACTCAAAAATTTTTTTCATGGTCTGGATAAAAAAATTTTTTTTTTGAATCAGAAAATTATGCCTTGTGCTTTGTTTTCGTTCTTTTAAAGGTTAATAGAAGAAATAAAATGTAGGTCTTATTAAATTAGAATTCAGTTATCAATTTATTTATTGTTACCAGATTATCAAAGCATATATTGTCCAGCATTTTGAAACTCCGTGTTTATTTGTGCAGTTCAATAAAAAAAAAAAATCGACCTACCTACCCACCTTGAAAATTCTGGGTTGGGTTACTGCAAACAAACATTTTTTTAAGGATGGCCTTATCTACCTGTTTTTCCTGGCATCCCTCAAGACATGCACCATTGGTACCATTTAATGAAGGTCTGAACCTGAATAACTTGTGTCCAAATTTTCAGATCATTCCTCATCCTGTTTATACACCTTTATTGCTTGCATTTTAAACATATTTATTTAAGCTTGATTGCATAATAAGTTCTTGCAACATATATTTAATCACTTTTGAGTTTGCTTTCTGGAACCAACCAGTCAAATGCAGAAATATGGTTGTGACCCAATAGGCCTTGAACCCATGATCACTGGGTTGAGAGGCAGACACCTTATATCCACCACTTGCCCTTAACAGACAAGAAATGTCAAAGGCGAAACACTGTTATTAGATAAATCCATGTACAAAAGATATTTGTTAGATTTGAATGAGTAAGAAATATATGCTAGATAAACAAACTGTTATGCTAAATAAACAAACTGTTTGCAAAGTCAATATATAATTTTTATGTTTTGTGTAATTGATTATCAGAATAGTGAAAAAAGAATCTGTTTAAAAGAAAAAATTGAAAATGTTGCAGGCTCGGTTTGATTGAGCCTGTTCATGTTCGGTATTGGAAAGTTCAAGTTACCATTCATGCCCTTATCACCGGTTTAAGAAGAATTCAACATTAAAATGTCTGCAGAAGCATTCATATGGTGGTCATCATTGAAACCTTTAATGTGACATGCTCATTCCATTCCATGAAAAATGGTGTATGGTTCGCAAGTAAAAAACAAGAAATGTCAAACAACACATATGCTCCCCTTTCTAGCCCTGTAAAGTTTGGATGAAATTGCACTAGTAGTTTTTGAGAAGTAGTCAGGACATTAGCTTTTGTGTATCTGGCAACACACAAAAAAAAAACACCTTTTTTATTAAAGGGCCATAACTCTGCCAAAAATCACTCAACTGGAAAACACGTGCAATATGCGCAAGAACTTGAGCTACAGATCAGTCCTGTAAAGTTTCATTGAAATTGCAAAAGTGGTATAAGAGCAGTAGTCTGTACAAACTTTAAAAATAACAAGAAATATTGAAGACATATATATGCCCTTCCAGCCCTTGACTCATATTATTGGTAATTTTGTTATAGAAACTTGCCATAAATGGGTTAATGGAAGTCTTCAGTTATGGAAAAAATAAAAATAATGATCTACTAGTTATTACCAATCAATATGTGAAATATAAAGACCTTGACCTTTGAAATAGTGAACCCATTATGAATATTCAATGTGTGAAATTTGAAGACTTTGTTATAAAAAGTTTTCAAGGTAATGAGTGGAAACCATTCCTACATCTAAGGCCCCTGTGACCTTGACCTTTGAACTAATGATCCCAAAATCAATAGGGGTCATCTACTAAGAGATTAATACACGGCAGAGAAGGGCTGGAAGGTGATAATCGGCCCGCAAAATGAATAATGGCCCATTCTCACATTTAAGGCACATGTGACCTTGACCTTTGACCTAGTTAACCCAAAATCAATAGGGGTCATTTACTAGTTATGACAAATCACTACATGAAATATGAAGACTTTGTGATAAAGTTTTCAAGATAATTAGCGAAAAACCATTCTGACATTTAAAGCCACTGTGATCTTGACCTTTGAATTGGTGAACTTAGAATTATTAGGGTTCATCAACTAGTTCTGATCAATTACTATGTGAATTATGAAGACTGTGATAAATAGCTTTTCAAGATGAGCAGAAACCATACCAACATTCAAGGCCCCTGCAACCTTGACCTTTGACCTGGTCACCCCAAAATCAATAGGGGTCATCTGCTAGTTATGAGCAATCAATATGTAAAATATGAAGACTTTGTGATAAATAGTTTTCAAGACAATAAGCCAACACTTTCTGACATTAAAGGCTCCTGTGACCTTGACCTTTGAAATAGTGACCCAAAAATCAATAGGGGTCTTCTTCTAGTTATTATCAATCACTATGTGAATTACGAAGACTTTGTGATAAATGGTTTTCAAGATAATGAGCGGAAAACATTCTGACATCTAAGGCTCCTCTGATCTTGACATTTGAATTAGTGACCCCAAAATTAATGGGAGTCATGTACTAGTTATGACCTATCACTATATGAAATATGAAGACTTTGTGATAAAAAGCTTTTAAGATAATGAGCGGAAATCACACTACCATTCAAAGCCCATGTAGAATGGTAGAAACCATTCTAACATTGAAGGCCCCTGTGACCTAGTGACCCCAAAATCAATAGGGGTCATCTTCGAGTTATGACCAATCAGTAAGCGAAATATGAAGACTTTGTGATAATTATTTTCCAAGATAATGAGCAGAAACCATTCTGACATTTAAGGTCTCTGTGACCTTGACCTAATGACCCCAACATCAATAGTTATGACCAATCAGTATGTAAAATATGAAGACTCTGTGAAGATAATCAGCTGAAACTATGTGATCTACCGACGGACCGACCAACCAACATTAGCAAAACAAAATACCCCCTCTTCTTCGAAGTGGAGCATGAAAATGTGGGTGCCCTAAACAAGAAAACAATGGGCCAAACTATTTAAAATGGAATTTCGAAAGGGAATCAGAGGTTATGAAGCCTGCTTATCACAGACCAAGGCATCAAAAGACAAATTTAAAGTCACATTAAAGCATATTTATTATTTATCTAATTTTTTTCCATGCATAACCCCTAAAAAACAATAAATAAAAAAACGCAACTATGAAACAAATTTTTTTTATTTTATGTGTATGTCTTCATAAATATAAATATTCATCACAATTAAGAAAGTTCAAAACTTTCCTCACATCCGTCTTTAAGTATAAAATCTGTACCTCTTTAAAACAAAAAGTGAGATACATGTATTTATAATATGGTAGTTTCATGATTAACCAAGTTCAACAAAATGCTGCTTCATTACATCAAGAATATGAATTATAGCCTACAAAAAGGGAGACAATTAAAACAACCACTGACTTTTCCTAACACTAATCAAATCAAAAGTATAGAACAATCTAATCAGTTCACATTAACATTTCTTTAAAATTCATTGCTTTTATAGCAGAAATAATAAATTATAATAATATTGTGTCACAGCATTTAGGATCTCATTTTCAAGTCAGCAGTGGTTAAAACATCAGTTGGAAGAATACATGTTTTCAGACTGATTTATGGCAAAATAAACAACTATGAATATTAGCTCAACAGCTTCTGTTATTTTGTAAACTTGAGGACTATTGCATGTTTATTGAGTCTGCACAAATTCATCAAATACACATAATTATATTGTCTTCTTAGTGCAGTTATGGGTTAACTCCTTATTTTATATACTGCACTTAGGTGATGATATGAGTTTTGATCAATTACACTTGAACATCTTAAACACAAAATAAAATCTTTTTCAATACACTTTTAATGATGCATCAAGATATTTAAATATCTACATAATTATAATTCTCAAATAGTTTATTTTTCAATTTTCACTTGTCAATGAACATAAAAATGCTAGAGTTTTAAGCCTTCTGTTTAGGTTTGAATCTGTGAGCAGCCTGAGGCTTAATCTTCTTTGAGAGGATTGGTTGGTCTTTGATCTGACTCTCACGCTCCTTCTCCTGGTTTGAATGCAAGCGCTGGTTGATACAGTACTCTGATTCCTGGCCGCATTCTGTAAGACGGAGGTCCATGGTTGTGATAGTGGAATTCTCCTCCATACCTTCCTGTAACTGTTTACCACCATCCTAAAATGTCAAAGGTCAAATGTATTATTTACATTTCATTTATTAATTATATTTCATTTTAGAGAAAAATTGTTATTATTATTGTTATTATTATTATTGAATCAGTATATACCTCTCAAAGTAAACAGATCAAATAAGGAGGATTTCATTTACAAGAAATGTGATTAGCAATAAAATGATGCCTCTTTTTAACTTAAAAAATAACTTATGACTTTTTAAACATTCAAATTAAAAGCATATTTTTTTCCTGTTTGCAATCTTTATTACTTTTAGTTTTGACACTTTACTTTAAGCCACTATATAATCATGTATAATGGTATATACAGAAATAATATTGAAGAGGAGCTGTTCTGTTAAATATTTCAGAAACATGATATATATGGTAATAAATTATGGAAAGGTGACATATCCCGTATATCTTTTTCCAACAATACATTATTTACTTAATATAGTATCTAAAAAAAAATTTTGTCCTCAGATTAAAATCATAACCATACACCTTGTCTCGATAGTTCTTAGAAAAAATAAAATCAAAAGCAAAGCAAAATACAGTCAATACAGTGCAAAATTTACAACCCTGCCTTACATGGAAGAGCATATATATATTGGTAAATATCAAATCTAATGAAAATGTAACTTACAGGACCAAGTCTGTTACATGACAGATCTATAGACTTTAATGTCATGTTTTGTATTACCACTTGTGATAAAATAGCTGCCGTTGGTTCTGCTAGCTCGTTACTGCCAAGATTGATCTCCCTGTAACAGAATTTTAAAATCATATTAAAGAAATAATTTTCCAGGGATTTTTGCAAGAGTATTAAATGCTTATGATTCAGATGGTTATGGATTTTATTACAAGATTTTATTTCAATATGAATGAAATGAAATTGCTAAAAACATAATGCATTACATTTTGCCGAGTCATGTCATAATTGATCTAATAACCTGATATTGCTTAAGTCAAAGTATTATTTATTTTGTGAGATACTGTATATCAAGTTTTTTTCTTTCTTTTTTAGGAAGAAATAAAGGATTGTCTACAACAGAACATTAGTGGTTCTACTCAGGTGCTCATTTGTGCCTGAAATAATGCACAGAATGGCATCTGATGTCTTCCACCACCAGTAATGCTGGAATGTCTCCAACTGACCTATTTTGTGTTGGTGCATTATGTAAAACCCGACCAAGAAAAGAAAAAGAAATAAATACAAATTTAACTTAGTCTTGATAATCATATTTCTGACATTTTAGCCAGTTTAACACTGATATTAACTATGGTAATATGGTGACATTCCAGCCTACATATGGAACATTCCAGCTTACATAACTGGTTTCCAATATTTATGCACAGATTATTTGATATTGTGCTTAATGTTGTTCAGATGATTTCAATATTATGTAATCAAGTAAGTCTACAGTCTCCATGATTATATGATCACTTGTCTTAAGTCCAAATATTGTAAAATCATATAATATTTTGCATTAAATACATTCAAAATCATATGAATATATTTTCTAAATCTAGCAATTATCACCTTAAATACTGGAACTGAAGTGATTAGACTTTGCCGCCAGCATAAAGCCAGGCTAGCCTGTACATCCATGCAGTCTGACCAGGTTCTACACTGCTGACTGACAAACTAAATTTTCATCTCAATATCCCAAAATTGAACATTTACAAAAATAGATGCTGGGCAAGTGCATTCAAGAAATTTATCAGGTTATGGTTATATAAATAATCACCTTAGTGCAGTTTTGGGTTAACTCAAATTAAATTTCGATTTAATTTAACCCGTTACTGTACTAAGGTGATGAAATATATATATATTTAATTTAGCTATTATTTTACCTCAGTGTAGAGTTCTTCAGTAAAGCTCTTCCAATTGCCTGACCACCTTCATCACCCAGCCTGTTTAATCTAAGATTCAAATGAAGCAGTGTTGTGTTCTTGGTGAGAGCATGAGCAATTGCCTGGGCCCCTGTCGACCTCACCTGGTTGTCACACAAATTCAATTTCACCAGCTGGCTGTGATTATTGAGGAACTTGCCTACTGCACGAGCTCCCCTGTCTCCTATACAGTTGTGTGACAAGTCGAGCTCTGTGAGGCCTGGGTGATCAAGGATATGACTGATTAACACTCTTACTTTATCATCATCTACCTTACTTCTATGGAGTCTAAACACTTTGAGATGTTTGCATGCTGCAACACATTGGGCTAACTGTAAACAATCTCTGGCAGTGAACTGAAAAAGAGTCCATTCAAAGTTCATACCACAGTCTTTTACACCATACGTAAGATGTAATTCTTCTAGATTTGGGAGTTGTTTCAGAACTGGACCAAAGTTGAAATGATCACATTCAGGTTCATCACCAGCATCACTGCCAGCATCTGAGGCATCATCAAAATCTGGTCCTTTAGGGGCTTCCCTTACTGGAGGAAGCAATTGTCTAATGTCTATTTTCTTTATGTAATTAGCAGATAATGGTAAGGTCTCATTCAAACGTGTCTGGTCTGTTGTTTCAGGTACAAATTGTTCAATTATTTCCTGTAGATTTCTCTCAAAGTACATTTGTTTCCAGCTACCACCAAATGCACTTACATCACATATTTCCCAGCGTGCCTTGCAACAGCGTTTCCAGTATCCCTCGTCCTCCACCAAGTTAGCTGTTATCTTAAGTGGAATGTCGGTGGATATTTTCTCTAGCACTTTGGTTTTATGTTTTGCAAGGAGACTGTTCAAAATCGAGGAATTATCTGAAACAAAAAATAATTACAAGTTTACAGCAAGTTTGATCAACTAATGTTTTAATACACATGATGAGAATTGTTTTTACTCAACTTGATACAGGGAAAGAAAATAATATCATAATCTGCAAATTTATACCATGTACAGTCTGCTAGTACTTTAACTATTTGACAAATAAATGTTGGTATCTTAACTCTTAAGTCAGCAAATGAATTTAACTTGAAGTATACCTCATTATTAATTTCAGAATATTTGTCAAAAAAAACAAAACTTACTTTCAAAATCTTCTATGATATTTTTTAGCGTTATTTCCACTAGCAATGGAACTGTGGCCAATGACCATTCTGGATCTTCAGCAATGATGCGGCGCATGTTTCTCCAATCAGCTGCTGGATTATCCTTAGCAGAACCAGTGGGTGATGGTGGACCACTTTTCTTATCACCCCCTGCACTCTTTCCACTCTTTTTTGACTGAGCAGACCCTACTCTTGAATTTGGCTTGGAGCCAGTTTGACTCTTTGGTCCACTCTTCTGACTTTTGGCATCATCTGCTGAACCCTCATCCCCTTCCCTAGGTGTATCATCTGATATTGTTGGTGGCTCAGCCATCTAAAATATTCAAACTTTGTTATCATTTGATATTTTTCACAATCTTATTCCTCACTCTACCTTCCTCTTCTTGAGAGAATTGAAGCCATTTTATGGCTAAATGGTTCTCCTTTAACTTCAATATATAGATCTAGATTAAGTCTCAAGTAATGTCTTTAATTGAGAACTACATGTAGCCGGTCAAGATGTGTTTTTTTTTAAAAAAAGCAACGTTCTTTTTAATTGCCAATGGTTGATACATGTATCTTACAGAAATTTTTTCCTTAAAGTAGTGTGCTTACACTTGGCTTTCAAGTTTGCTATATATGACTATGTGTACATTTATCATGTACCATTTTAGTCATATCTTTTTTTCTAGTCGTACTATGAAGACAGAGACTTAAATTACAGAGGAATGAGTTCCTCAAATAGAAAATTTTCCTTCCAGACCCACAATCCCTTTCATAAGATGTATTGACCAGAGGCCGAAGGCCAAGGGCAACAGTTCCGGATGTCATCCTTGTCACTGAGGGACAACAGTTTACTGTTCCACAAACGCCCATGAAATAACTGTTTTATTACCTAATACTTTGCAATCAAAGTACAATATATATTGTAACAACATACAAATAACATTTTTACAACTGTTTTCATTGTACTACAGATGAAACACTATCGTACATTCAGCTTGTCGGGTTCGATAACTAAATAGTGGTGGGCGGCTTTAAACGGAAATACCCGATGACGTCGACAGTGTTGTAACAGTTAAAAATGTTGACTGGTCAACAGCTCATTTTATCATTGCTCATGCACAGGATTTCAGTGGTTCAGTTAAAAAGTTGGAAATAAGGAATTAGTATTTATAGAAGGCATTTGTTTATACAGGGACGTCAAAGGCAAGGTCCGCTGCTTTGGCTTGCCCGTCTATAGACTACACGTGTATATTTAAAAGAAAATCAAACAAAAAACAATTAAAAATATATAGCATTCTATACCTATTAATGAAATGTTCAGTGTCAGTACTAGTGGGGCACTGCCATTTTCAATGTAACTCAATGATAACAGGCGGGGTATTCGGATAACGGAACAAATCTCAACTTTTTGGATTAATAATAATCGTCAAGTGTTCCGAGTGAAAACGGAAGCGGGTACATGTAATACCGAATGACACCTTTAAAACAGAAAAATGAAAGGATTTTGTTTACCTACTTCTCCGTTCATAGGCTTTGCCTTATTTTATATTAAATGCTAATATTACTGAAATTCATTATACTGTTCAATGACAATTATCCTGCATCAACATCACAGTCAGAACAGTAATCAGTATTATCAAGTCTGCAAAAAACATTCATAAACCTTTAGGCCTAATTGCTTGTAAAAATTGCATTCAAAAGTGAAAACGAAACGATATTCCACATTCAGATGTGCAGTCTGATTGGGATCTGAACCTTAAACCTTCAAAACACTGAAAATAACTTTAATAAAAATAATCTTAATTTGAACTTGAAGCCACATTCAATTTGTTTTATTTCACGTTAACAGTTAACAATGCTGTTTAAAATTAATCAAAAGAACTTAACATTTATCAATGTTGTATGCAGGAGTTTGAGGCAGTTATTCATACAATTGAAAAATGACATTAAAAAAAGCAAATAAGAAATATCCACCTTTCACCAGTCCTGTATGTAAACGTTGCTATGGATAACCGGAAACGGAAATGCAGGTTTTAAATATGGCTGCGCCCATGTCTTGTATTGCACATTAAACGACTTTAGTCTTCTAACTTTGTTTTTACCGTAAGTTTATACAATCCAGTAAATAGTGATCTTAATTCGTATATTTTATTTGTAAATTCATTACACTAAATGCCGCCAAGATGTTAGATCGAGCTCATAAACTATTATTACCAGTTTTCGCGATATGAATTTAGTTTCCGAAAAGGAAGTTGCTAGCCGTTAGCCGTACGTGAGTCACGTACGACTAGCAAGGACTCACTGTATTGGCTAGCCGTACGGCATTTTCAAAATTATATGGAAGTCGAAAATGCGCAAACTAGTCAAATCGTCCCCAAGTCGGATCGGCCCCCAAGTCAGATCGGCCCCAAAATTAGTCAATTCGGCCTCAAAATTAGTCAATTCGGCCACACAACAATTTTAAAAAGTCAAATCGGCCTCACAACTAGTCAAATCGGCCCTAAAATTATTTTTATGAAAAATCCTATTTTGGTTAAAATAATGTTATTTGCCATATTAACTGAGAATTGTACTTTAACATAAATGTAGTGTACCAATTAAAAATAATTCATTACAAAAATTGGGACAGTTTTGATGCTAGTGATAATTGTTATTAATGTAATTATGCAGGTGTGCTATGGTTGTTGATTGATTTCTACATTTAATTACTTTGTGTGTGTGTTTGAGTTTGTTAATCCTCGCCACCGGAAGGAGACCATATGGGCGAGCATATACTTCATTTATAACCTATTAAAAGGGGGAGCTGATGTTTCTTTACTTATTGTTATATCCGTACATGTGTTGTGTGCATACCATATCCCCCATGACAGGGTAGTCTCTACGTACAACCTCTGCCAAAGGAGGAACTCAGGAAGATGGGGCAATCCCATACTAAGTTTAAGAATTCTAAAATTTAATAATTAAAATGCACTTATTTTAAGATTGGCCAATTACAATTAAATATCTGAACATATAAAGGTCGGTCTACGTTTTGAAGATAAATAATTATGTGAAAAACAAACAATTATCATGTGTCTTTAATCAATTCAGTCATTGTCTCAAATAATCATGCATTGAATTCGGCTTTTTGAACAAAAAATTTTGCGTGAAGTGAATTTAATCAGTTATGTACGTTATAAAAAGGTTGATTTTTTAGCAACAGTCAAAAATGTATTTTACTAATTTTCTAAATGCATTTTTTTAATAGAGTAGTTTTTAATTTAAATTATAGTTTATTGATAATAATAGATAGAGATGCAATGCTACTGGATTAACGAATGATTTATGCAATTAACGATAATTAAAAATACTTATTTATAGAGATATCCATCCAATTAAAGAGTGAGACGTTTAATCAGGTAGCATGTTGTTCACACTTTAAATTAGCTGTTTATTAGTTACACGTGTCCGACACATCTGGATATATTATATATTTAATCAATCTAAATTTAATTTCTTTAAATTAAAAAACTATAAAAGAACTATAAAAGAAATTATATCACCAACAACTTAAGACGTCCGCGTTTTAGACTGTGCCGTCTTTAAAGCTGAAGTAATCACATTTAATTAAAAAATGAGTAATTCTACTTACCTTGATTCCATCTCTGTGTATAAAATCATAATTAACAAAATTGAAAAAAGTCTTAGTATAATTATAAAAAACCATATATATTAAACTCTTGATAAAAATGATTTCAAATGAATATTATAAATTAGATTGATTATTATATGTTTTGTTTTTGTTTTCTATGTAATCCATTGTTTGTCATTTGGTATTCCCATCCACACAATTGTTTTTTATCAACATTTAAAAAATAAGAAAATGAATAATGAATTAAGAACATAACAAAAAAATGGGGCAGATCTGACTTGAGGCCGATTTCACTTGGGGCCGATTTGACTATTTTGTGGCCGATCTGACTTGGGGCCGATCTGACTTGGGGCCGATTTGACTGTAATTCAGAAAATGCATATCAGCCATATGTTATTTTATGACTTTAAGCGAGGATTTTAACCAAGAAACAGCAATTGTCTTCGTATGTTTACTTTTTAGAGATTAATCGCCTTGTTGGCTACAGTAAAAAAGTACGAATATCGATCTTTTTCAACTCAAGAGGTCGAGAAAAAATAGCGTTTAATCGCAGTTAAATAACATCGATTGAAATAGTTTACAAAATTTTGATGATAATCCTTTTTTTTATTAGGTTAGTTTTCGACACCTTTAAAATGAAAAAAAAAATGTTGTTGGGCTCTGATAATTGCGTCAGTTACCGACGGTATGGAAGTTTGTCCATCATTAACATAAAATGATGAAAAACCTCAGAATTACCCAAAATCTAGTTTTTCCATGTTAATATATGTGGCCTTTCACCTAATTTTGGTGAAAAATTGTTGTTTTGTAACATTTTTAATTTTTTTAGTTAAGGAAAGTTTGCATGTTCCGTGAAACGCATTTTAAAATTCTATTGTCAGGCCCTGGGTAGGCTTATTAATTGAGAGTGCTTTTATGTTTGATATTTATCTACTGTATTTTTGCTTTTCACCGTTTTTTTTTCAATGTTCTTTTTATTTATTCCACTCCGACCATTATTTATTCGATCCATGTGCTTAATCATCAAAAATTAATAAAACAACAAATCATAATCATGAGGCACAAAATAACATAAGCATGTTCGACTTCCATATAATTTTGAAAAATGCCGTACGGCTAGACAATACAGTGAGACCTGGCTAGTCGTACGTGACTCACGTACGGCTAGATTTTTTGGCTAGCCGTACGGGCCCGTGCGGCTAGCCACTTCCAAAAAAAAGCCACTTCGAAATAAAAGTGCATGTTTGGAAAACAAAGAAAAACTGTTTTAATTAAAGTTTTTTTATATGAAATTAGGTGCTACCTTTGATGCGAAAAGCATCAGAATACCATACGGCTCTACCAACTGAGCCACGCTTAAACATCCTCTCCCCTAACTAGTGAACAGTTCTAAACTGTGACATAATCCCCCGCTATATTGAAATTCATCCACGCATTTCAAAGTGTTACAAAGCAATGTTAATTAATCCAGCTATATCCAGTCACAGTCCACGTTTGGCGCCAAATATCATAGGGTGAGAAAAATGTGCGGTCTGACCGGGACTCGAACCCAGGACTGTCGAAATACGTACCATGGCTCTACCGACTGAGCTGTCCTGCTGCTTACACATCCTCTCCCCTAAATAGTGAACTGTTTTAAACCATAACAAAGCTTCCAAAATTGAATAGAGTTTGCAGCGGATATTTCAATGTGACTACCTAAGGAAGTTGCTGTTTGATTTGAATTTAAATAAAGGGCATCTTATTCTTCTCTTATTACTTATATTAGATAAATTTTATTTCAGCTAAAAGGGCAAACAAAAAAGATGAGTAAGCGTCCTAAACCTGGCGAGACAGAGGAAGATTTACTTGAGTTTCAAAAACAATTTCTCGCTCAGAAAACTGCACCTTCTGTAAGTGTGATAAATAAAAGAGCTGGGGAGAAGAGACCTGTTGATAAACAAGATGACAAAACAGAACAAAAAGATATTGTGCAGTTGGAAGGTAGAGTTTGAATGTAAATTATCATCTTATTTTATCAAAACTGATAGGTCAGGATCAGTGGGGAAGATGTTTCAACTTTGTACTGGATAGCTTCTTTGCCTTTTGTATGAAGCTTCTTAAAACATTATGAAGTCATGGACAAAATGGAGGAATCATCATTCGCATATAGTGAATACTGGCCAAACCCAGTAAACTACATTGAGAACACAGATTTACCTAAGTTGACTGAAGTTGACACATGTAATTGTTTGTTAGTTTTACTTTAAATACATGTGGGTACATTGTGTTACAAAAACTGTTTTGTTTTGTTCTGTGTATTTTACTGTTAAAAATCAAACTAAAAATTGATGGATGTATTTTACTGGTAAATAGCCAATACCTATTAGATCAATATATTTAAGTAGTAAAATTAAATATTTATTTGTTTTATTTACATGTATATTTGGTTAATAAGTTTTTGGGTAAAAACCAAATGCATGTACCCCATTCATTAAAGCATGATGCATGTTTTATTCAGCTCTACCACAGACCCTTCCAGCAGCAGACCACATAGCACCTGCAAAGAAGTCAAGATTTAAAGCCGCACAAGAGCAGAAAGCTAAACAGAAGAAACACTCCCATTCTGATGCCCAACATGACTTTGATGGTAAATCTCTTGAATGTTACACTTCTTTTATATAATAGACTTGTCTGTTTTTACTTTGAAATTTTGCATTGAATGAGTTATGGTATAAGACATTCTCAAATTGACAACAAACGGTATAAAATATTCTCAAATGGACAAAAAAGAGCTCACAAAAAAAGGGTTTGGTCAGACTGTTAATGTGAGGCAGGAAAACTTCTTTACAATCTAATAAAACAGTCCTTCCACAATGAAGTTTTGAAATAAGTTGCGACTGTGTTTCCATGAACTATCAATCTTTACATGACTAGCTATTCTAGCTTCTTATTAACTGCTTTGCTGAAAATAGGATTGACGTTCAAGTTTAATGCTTTGTATAAACTTTTTTTGTTTTAACTTTGACATTAAATCTGAATTTATACGATATTTCAGGTGATTTATTTAGAATGAGCAAACAAACTTTGATATTTAGAAATTCAATTTGAGAGAACTTAAGTTATTGTTCTCCTGAAATTTTTATGAAAATTTTATTTCTTCCAACATGACAGAGTATGACAGGAGTACAGCCACAGTACTAGCCAAAATAATTGTAAGTATGAGTCTCCTTTGATGATTACTCCTTATTTGTTTAACTTTTGCTCAAACATCTTCTTTCCTTAAGCTACCATTGTTAAAATAGCATACATCTTGACAAGAGCTGAAAAAAAAAAATTTGCTCTCATTTGAAATGGAACATACCATTATAAAGGGATGATCATGTTTGGTTTTAATAGATTAAGGGTTAATGCAAAAAACATTATTCATCGTTCATATGTATATATTTGTATAATTCTGTAAATATTATAAGAAATATTTTGAACAGTATTTATATCTATTATCTTTTGATATATTTGATATGTTTTACACAGGAGAGAGATACTCATAATGCTAGATACAGCTTACCAGCTCCAGTGACCTTATCATTCCCACAGTTGTCACAAAGTGGTATAACAAGTGCACAGGTAAGCATTAACATACAGTAGATAAGTCATTGGCTAAAATCATCCTGTGTCATATGTTTCAAGAAAAAAGTTTGGAATTATTTTACATCAGATCTTTCAAGGAAGAAGGTTCAGTCCATTTTTGAAGTCAAGTCACCTCAGTGTGTTAACTTTATGGTCATTTTAGAGATTTAGAGCATCAGAAAGACAGTGTATCCTTTAATACATCTACTCTGTGTTTTATTTTAGCCGCGGATTATTTAAGGACCGTGAGCTCGTTGAGGTTTTCATATAAATTGCTTTTCAGCATCCATCGGCATCTATTGTATTGTTCACATTAGATTTTTAGGTAGTTTGTGGGGTAAGGACTATCTCGTGTGCTTTTATTATTTACAACGATCTATCCTATAAACAGCCTATTTTGATTTTGTTCATAACATAGTGGTTATCATTTAAACAATAAAGTGAAAAGAGTTCAGAGTATTGAATGTTTTTAAACATGTCTATAGTTTAATTGTTTTGGTCTGTTTTTCCATCACAATTTATGATCATGAAATGTTGATATAACTGTTAAATGATGGAATATTATCACCTTGCTAGTTATAGAATTATAATTTTTAGACTGAAGACCCTACAAAGAAGAAGAAAAAGAGTTTGTTTGCACAGCAGGTGGCTTCAGAACCTGAGGTATTTGGCATATTGCCAGATAAGCCAGCATCTGTTCTGAAAATGGAGACTGAGGAGTCTGAAGAAGGTATTGTTGATAAAGAAAAGTAAATTAATATCTGAGTTACTATTAAAAATGTACCAATCTCTCAAAAAAGTATACTGCCTGGTCTTAGAAATTCATTAAGATAAAAAGTTTCAAAACTCAAATTCAGCAAGATAAGACTTCAATTCAAGGCTTGAAATGCTATGTTTGGCAGATTATAAAGGTAAAATTCAAAACACTTGAAATTGTAAGGTATGCTTCTCAATTAAATGCTGCTCAATTAAAATAAATGAATGTGTATGTTAAAATTTACTAGACTGTCTTGTCTTCAAAAATGTAGAAATAATTTCTTAATTTCTTTGAAGGAGAATTGAAAATTAAGCAGAGAGAGAGAGACCTTTAGATAATTGTAAATTTGTTTGTGTTTGGTGATTAAAATACATTTGAATAAGAACTGATGGTCTAAATGCCTAATCTGCTGGAAACATATTAGCATTTGCCACCAGGATAGGGCCAGGCTAGCCTGAACATTTATACTGTTGGTAGCTTAATTTTGCCCCTTGTAGCTGAAGGGTTGCCTTTAAAGGTCAAGGCACCAGAATTGCAGCCACCATGCAACCCTGCCTGACCATAAGAGGCAACTGAATGGGTTTGAATTACTAGAGTCTGTGCATCTCCTAGCTTCAGCAGGGGAGGTGGTTTTGACCCCTGGTATTGCTTTAAGTTTGTAACACTTGAGGTTAGCCAAATCATCTTTTCTGTTTTTGCACCATATGACCAAAATTGCGTTGATGTGCCATAAAGTTAAACAAAACAAAAATAAACGATAGCTTAATTTTGTACTTTTTGTATTGAAAACCCTTAAACTAAGCATTAATTCTTTTATAGATGTTGAAATGCCCAGTATTATAGATGGAAGTGGTCTCAGTGCAACATTCAGTAAAACAGAGGCACACAAGATACATGAGGAAAACATTGGTCATCTGTCACAAATGTCAGAAGAAGAAGTGTTAGAAGAACAAAGGAAACTTTTACAGACACTTGGTATTTTATAGATTATGTCAACTACAGTTTGTTCTTATTTTGGCTGAGATAAGATCACACATTATTTCCAAGCTTTACTGGTCAAGAAAAAGAACATATTCTTCTCATTCATGGTTTAAGTCACTATTAAGAAAATGAATGAAACAAGAATTTTTTTGGGAATCAAGTAGAATACCCACCTTACATGAGTGAATTGGTCATCCATGATAGGACTGGCTGCTTGGAACTGACTGGCAGGCTATTCTGTAATGTGCTCTTCATTTTAAAAAAATCTTTAGAATTTGTAGATTTAACTTCTACTCCTTTCAATACTTGTTACTTTCATTTAAACGTTTCAGATCCCAAACTTGTGGCATTTCTGAAAACAAAGAAAACTGCTCAAGAAGGTAAAGCAGGGCAAAAAACTGAGACTGCAGAAGAGAAAATTCCAACTACAGAAAGGAAAGGAAAAACAAGCAAGCCTAAACAAGGTAAGGAAACAAACAAATGACAAACTCTTCTATATTTTCAACTACAATGTATTGTTGACTTAAATTTTCTTGACCCTCACTGCTGTAAGTTTTTTTTTGCTTACCACGGAAGTTCTAGTCCTTATGGTAGCGAGTGATTCAGGATTCAGCATTTTTCAAGATTGATGGTTAAACTTAGGCACCTGCTGTACCTGAAATAATGTATGAAGTGCCCACGGAGTCAATGTGACTTAAAACAAACCAAATATATATGATTGAAAAAAAGGAACAGATTTGAGAGCGTGTCTGGAAGCTTACAACTTCCTATGCAAACAAACTAAAATAAATTCTTTATAAACTAGTAAATGAATAAGATTATTGATAGGCACACCTTTCATTTTTCTACTGAGTTATATGACTGACCAGAGTCTGAAAGCATTGGGACATGCTGACAATTTAAAGTCTTGAAGTTTAGAGTGTTATGCATATTAACTCTATGAATCCCATTAAGCTCTTTAAATGCTATCATATTTATGTCTTAAACACTTTATTTTTTGTATCCTATTACAGTTTCCATAACATTACTTGTTAGCCATTTAGATGAAATATATAATGTCTATATATCTACGAAAGCCATTATGTTAGATATCCCTTTACTAAATTTTCAAGCTTATAAGAATGTATTTTATCATTATTATTTTGTATGGATGATACAGAAATGGAGGAAAATGTACCAGTTGAAGTGAAGAAAGATTGGGTACATATGGATACTGTAGAATATGATAAATTAGAATGGATGAAAGATTTACCTCCACCATCCGCTGATAGTGCAAAGGTATTTATTTTTTTTAAATGCAAAGATATTTATTATTCTATTGTTTGTCAGGTTGTAAGTGTAACTGAGATGTCAGTCATATAGCTAGCTATCTCACTTTAATGATATAGATTTAACCTTAGTTGACTCTTTGTGGGGTGTCCATGGCCGAGTGGTTAAGGTCATTGACTACGAATCACTTGCTCCTTATTGTTGTAGGTTTGAATCCTGCCAGGGATAATTGCATGTAAGGAAGCTATCCAGCTAGTTTACAGAAGGTCGGTGGTTCTACTCAGGTGGTTGCTTATGTCTGAAAAAATACACTGAGGTGTACCTGAGTGAGGTCTTCCTCCACCAGTAAAAGCTCGAAAGTCACCATATGGCCTCTTTTGTGTTGGTGCAAAGTTAAACTCAACCCCAAAAAATAAATAAATTGAGTCTTTATAGATTATATCAGTCACATACAAAACACTTGAGTAGAACCTTATATCTCATTTTACCTGGCTGGTATGAATCAATTTTATGTTTACAGCCAGGGTCAAACCTGAAGCAATAAAGGGGCTAGTGATTTTAAGTCAGCAACCTGTACCAAAAAGGTTAATATTTTTTTAAAGAAAAAGATTGTGCTATTTAGTATTAACTGTATGTTGATATGAGTAGATTTATATGAATCCTGTACATTTTATCAGATTAGTCGTAAGGAGATGTGTTATTTTTGTGTTTAAATTTTCAGACAGGTCAGCAAGCAAGATTTGATTTCCATGGTAACATTGTGTTTGCTGATGCAGATATACCAGTTAATGTGGGTCTACATCACCATGGTGATGAACCAGAGGTTAGTCTGTTTACTCACTGTACATTATATGGGATAAAAATTGACTCTTTAGAGCATATGTAAGTAAAACTATTATTTTGCAAAATACTTAGTCTTAGTAAAAACAATTTTATTAATTTTAATTTCAGATGACGTCAGTTTAAAGCACTGGAACAATATTTAATGTTATTTTATAGTACAGATGAGATCCCTCCCAAAGATTATGACGTTTTATACATGTAGATTTGTGCTTGCTTATCTCTATGGTGTAATAGTCTTTCTTAGTCCAATTAATTACTTTTGGATACATAGGAGAATGAGAATCCCTGTCCGTCAATAAATAGTAAGTTATTTTTAACACAGAGAGCAGGTTATACACTGGAGGAATTGTTTACACTGGCCAGAAGTACAAATAATCAGCAGAGAGTACTTGCCCTGAATACACTTAGTAAAGTTATCGAACAGGTGTGTACAACTATATTATATTGCTTGATTAGGTGTTCTGTCTACCTTTGAATTTTGTAAACTTAACAATAATAATTTATTACTTCTTAATTTTACTTTTGATTGTACAATGTATCTGTTTGTGGGTTTAATTACTAGAAGCTTCATGTTGCTGGTCCATAAGAATATTGGGACTGATTTCTCATAATATAATGTTATTGATTGTACTACCAATAAGATGTTAAAAAATAAGTATAAAATGTTTATATTTCTGCATCAAAAAAATTTTAATTTGCTAAAAGGATTTTCTAGCTATAGTCAACTTTGTTATGCCCTCACGGAAGTAATGCACTGAAGCGCACTTGAGATTCCCCTCCACCAGTAAGTCTGGAAAGTGGCCTTTACTGTGTTGGTGCAACCTTAAATCCAACAAAAAAGGCAGGGGGCATAGATTTGCCCTTATCCGTCCTGCTTTCATGCTGTCAATCTATAGACGGAAAAAATAGTGGATTGTCGGGGCATTAGCGAGCATCCTATGGACGCATTTCTAGTTATGCATTGAATATGATGTGTAATTTTTCCATTGATAGATTGATCCTGTGACCTTAGATTTAAATAACAATAGATTTGACAATTTGTTTTTTGTTAACAAATAATTATGTTTTGGTGAAATTCTTATTGCTAATTTATTAATCTGATGATCAGAGTTAGACATCCATTAAAAAGTGAATTTAAGAATACCTAGTATGTGGTTTATTTCTAGGCAAAGAATGGGAACTTGGAAAAGATGGTACAGACGCCAATTTTGGCTAGCATTATTGATGCTGGTGTGATATTTCTGTTCCGCTGGTCACTAGATGACACTGTTGAATCTGTGCTAGCAGCAGCTGTGATAGCCCTCAATTCTCTTCTTGTCAATCAAGCTGATGAGGTATGTGCTAGAGTTCTCTCCCTTTATTTAACCTTTATATTGAAGTTTTCTTGCATATCTGACAGACTGGTTTTACCCATGCAGGAAATTTTATCTGGCATCGGTGGTGCCAGATGAGTCACATGCTGTTCAATGGCGTTATTTTAGCGCATTTTATGAATGAACCCCATTATCATCATTTTGGCACATTTTGATTGAAACTAAGGGTACCCGCCCATGGGCTGCAACTTTCCTACCATTGGGAAGGATATTCTGCTCTGTACTGTAACAAAGGTCAAATATTATTACTCTCCTTTCATTTAACATTATATTCTTGAATTCATAAACATAAATATTCATCATGCTTTGGATTTAGTTATTTTTATGTAGTTAAATCCAAAACAAATAGTATAGAGTTCTTGACTAATAATTAAAATGTATTGACTTCAAAACTACAATATGAAAAAAACAAACAACACTACCCCCCTGGTTTGGTGATTGTTCTATACCTCTGTGAGTAGGATAGAGTTTTTTCAGAGTGTGTAGTTTTACACACTTGTCGTTACTGGTGCCATAGGCTAGATTTATTGTTGCCAGCACTTAACTGTTTGATCTTTTGATTTCTTTTTTACAAAACTTTTACATATTCCAGTTTTATTTAGGAGGTAAATTCCGATCCTGACTGTATATAACTGTTATACTGTGTAATTGTCAGAAAAGTTGAAAACATAAATAAGATTTTCATAGATAAAGAAAGATGCATTTCATAGATAAACATGTATTTGCAAAGCTAACTATTTCGTTACAGGTTGCACTCGAGAAAGTTTTCCACTGGTTTCAAGGTTACAGAGTGGCTTGGCAAGCTCCTGCTAAACCAGAGCAAGTAGGAATAAAGCTTCCTGGTGAAGCAGAAGAAACTCCGGATCAGTCAGATGCAGAGCTTGCTAAACATGATCTGATTCAGGTGAATAACATAATGATGTGCTATGACCTTGGTATGCCCTTACTATCATGCCTTAAATAAGTCAAGGATTTTGACTGCTAAAAAAATGATTTTGCGAATATAATTGAAATACTTAATTTGTCTTCTTAGTGCAGTAACCATTTAACTGCTATTAAATTTGATAGGAGTTAAGCTGTTACTCAAAGGATATCAGAGATATATAAATGGCATAACTTATCAGTAAAATAGCAGTAAAAAAGATGTTGTAAACACAGTTGTTTGTTTCCCCTCCTTTTACTTGCTGAAAAAAATCTTTGCATAAAATCCAAGGAAAAGTTTGAATATTTTATGCAAAATGATAGGAATTACTATTTCAATCACCTCATTAGAAGAAAGAGAACATTCTGGAAATGAATATGATTATATCTGATGATGTGCTTCTCTAGAAAGTGTTAGAAGTAATTGGTGTATATTATATTTTCAGGCATTAGGCAGCAGAATGAACCTGATACAGCGTCTAACCTACATTCTACAGAATGTTAAACCACAGGCACCGGTTGTAATTGCAGTATTACAAATTCTTACAAGACTTTGTAGACATTCAAAACAATTAGCATACCAGGTAAGCATGACTCTGTTCTTGTTACTGATAAAAAAAAATTTCTTCCAAGGCCTCTTTGACTTAGGGGTTTATGTTGCTGATTGCATGATAACTGTCAAGGCTTTTTGAAATTAGGAATTATATTTAGGAAAATGTTTTCCTTTCCTATTGTTATTGCATGGTTTGAGTTTAGATGTGCAGTAATATTATCATAAAGGCTGGTAGGCTTGAGAGATTATTAGTAAGTACAAAGCATTTGAATGATAAAGCATGCATTATTGTACTATTTCGTGACATCATTTGGTTTATTAACATAACAGATGATGTCATATTGTGTGTAAGCATTTTTTTCTTTATTCTAAGCATTATTATCATATGTAATAATGCACATTTATTTTGTTTGTTTGATATGTAAATACAGTCAATTCTGTGTTAAAGACCACCTCTGAATATAGATAACCCTGCAAATAAGGGCCACTTTTAGACAACCTTTTCTGAATAAAATAGAGTAAAGTAACCTCTACATAAAGACCACTTGCCTGTAAATACCATTATTTGTCTCTCTTCCGTTGGTGGCCTTTGTTTACATGTTTAACTATAATATGGAAGCTTGTTAAAATGCAAAGATTTGTTTTGCAGATTGTTTTAGAATACATGTATCTTTACAATTAAGCTGTCCAATTTTAGTTTGAGACAAATTTTAGTAGGCAAGTGTATACGGATTGGAAATGATATGTTCCTCTCTGAAGGCATTGTATATTTTGTTTTTACAGGTTTTTAATTACAAAGGATTACTTGAGCTGGTGATAAAAGAATTTTTGCCAATCACCTGGCAAACAGAAGGTAATGCTATCATCCTAATTCATGTTTTATAAATTGTGATGTTGACAATGATTTCAATAGATAAATTTTAATATATATTGTGGGAGAAAACAGTATGATGAGGTTGAGTCCTAATGGAATTAGGACAGCACCAGTATTGTTTCAGTTCCAATAATTAGACATGAGAGTGATTTAGATAAATTTCAAGCTTTTATCCCAAGTAAGTTTAAATGAATTTGTTTGAATTAATACTTTTTCTGACTGGAGCCTATAGAGGTAATGAGCAAGGGATGAAAGTTTGTGACTTTAACAACTGCGTCACACAGAGCCCCCTCCATTACAAACATAAATAACAGCACAATCAGAAATATATTGTATTTTTTCATCAAATACAGGTGTGCAGGAACCAGTGAGTAATGTTTATGGGATTCCACTAAAGGAGGCAATGGCATTGATGTGTACACTTTGTCAAGCCGGGAAAAACATGGCTGCAATGTTGGTAATAAATTCTTACTTCATATCTTTTATTTGAAATATCAGACTGTTATATTGGCCAAGAAATGCTTGTATTTATTGAGTCAGCTTTTTTTTACGGTTAGCTCTTATCAAATAAAATGACATGGTGTGTTGGCAATATTTATATCTAAATAATACATGTATTTAGGCAACATAACAGGGGTCTGTACAGATTTTGCAACTTCATCACATACCAAGATTGAAATGTAAAAATAAACTTGAATATTAAATTGTTTTACATTAACTTAAAAGGTATGTGCAACCAAAATAGAAATTAAGGACTGCACATGTATATACGTGTAGATGTTAGTTCAAATAGCATATCTTAGCCTCCAATCATTTGAAATTACATGGATATACATGTATAATTACTAGAAAAAGTGACTGGACATAATGTTGCGATGATATGCATATTATTACTTTTTGTAGAATAAAAGATTGTTAACATGTATTAAATTTCTGTTAAATTGTTTCACTGTACCCATTTCACTACATGTACACTGTATTTTGTATTATAACAATTCATTTTACATTATATATAATAGTTGTCAAAGTTCAAACTGGAGGAAAGGATGTTGAGATATCTGATGACTGACATAAAGTATGTTAAATCCATAATGTTTGCCTTTTATTTTTCAAAATATTTAAAGTGAATTGGCCTATAATGGACGGTCTGTAACTAGAGGGTTAATAAATCTTTTTAGTACATTAATATCTGGAGATGCATTTATACTTTAAAGTCCTGGCTGGGCATTTCTTTTTTTTCTTTTTTTAAAGAAATATTTTAGAAGACTTTTCCAGTGATACATTTCTATGCTTTTATCAATGTTTAAAAGACTTACGGAAAATGTACCCATTGTAGATCAATCCACTTTAAGAAAGGAGGACCTTGTGGTCAAGTCTCTAACATAGCTGATTGTGAAACGTGAAGGCATAGGTTTGAATCTCGACAGGAATGTTTATGTAAGCTGATATGAACCATTCCTGAGTACACTCCCTTGAATAGATCAGCAGTGGCATCATATGAGGAAACATGGAAATAATCCCTGTAGGGTTCAAACCTATGATCCCTGTGTTAGAGGCAGAATCCTCTACCACAAGGCCAACACTCCCCTGAGATTTTTATAGTGTGAGAAAGCAAGCTTATGGATGGTTGCTGATTATTATAAAATTTCTGTACAAGCCATAAATAATGCAAAGAAGGAAATATATGGTCTTATAGTGCCAGTATTGCTGATAAAGCTCTGTATGAACCTGTTACACAGTGTGACTTACAACCCAATCTCAATCCATCCCATAAAATAAAAAGAATTAAGCTAAAATGCTTGCATGAGGTCATAATATTTATGCCCCCGCCATGTAATGGCCGGGGCATATAGTGTTACCCTGTTCCGTCATTCCGTCCTTCCGTCATTCTGTCATTCCGTCATCATCAGTTTCCGTTCATTATCTTAAGAACGGTTGCACACATTAAACTCAAATTTGACATATGGATATGTCATGAGAAAATACAGGTCAAGTTCGAATTTGGTCATGGTTGGATGATTTTTTGGCAGAGTTAAGTCTGTTTCACTTTGAAAATAATATAGATACATCTTAGGAATAAGCAGTTTAAGTTTGAATTTGGTCATGGTTCAATGATTTTAGACAAACTTATCTTTCCTGAATGTTGGAAAAATTTTGAACTTTCAGTTTCAGCACTCATACTTTTAACCATTATTTTTGCTACAAATATGCAATATGCTATTTTCAAAAGGTTAAGACTGATTAATTTAGTGCCTTGAACATTGTATGAAAATGGTTTGTGTTAACATTATAAAGTTTTAAGGGCTTTGAACTTAAAATGAAAAAAATAATTAATGCACCATCTGAAATTTTTGCTGCATGTGGGGGCATCCGTGGCATGATGACACATTTCTAGTATTTTAAAAAGATAATAAATATTAATAGCTTTGTTGGTCCTTGTCTGTATTTTAACATACCAGACGTTACAATATATACATGTATTACAGGAGTTTCGGACTGCCTCACATTGAAGCTCATGGTCTAAAGTTAGAATGTCTGAACTTATGGAAGGTTTGTTTGTCATATGGACTGGCTGATAATATATACATGTAAGAGGTTTGATTAATTAAAAATTACTATTTGTATTTCAGTAGTATAAATACAAAAGATAGAGTGAGTGTGAGTCTTGAAAATATGAAATTAAAGATGAATGGAAAAGTACATTTTGCAAGTTCTGACACATAATTTTTCTCATAAGTTTGAAATATATACTTGATCATCATTTTAGTTAATAATCAGATCATGCAAGCATCTGTGTTTATTTGGGCCTGCATTTAGTTAATGTTGCTGGCTCTTGTTGAGTTTTCCTGTCATATTTGATACTGTTACTGAGCTAAATCTAGTGTTGACAACATTTTCTAAAAATATTGTTCTTCTCAAACAAACTACATGTTAGGGCATGGTCAAAACAATTGTTGAAACAGATTGATAAACTTCCACTATTTTAGTGAAATAATAGTGTTTGTGATAGAAACACAGACATATTCTGAAATACCATACAATATTGGATTGATTATATTTTTCAGAGAGTATTATCCACTGATAGTTGAGATATTGAGGAATTATGACGGAATATTTGATCGTACCACAGAGGATCAAGACAGAGTTGCAGCCCTTGTCTCGTGTCTAGAGATGGCAGTATGTGTTGCCAGTACTCTGAGAAAACCACAAACATTTAAACATAGGTAAAAAATTCAATTGCGCTGTGAAATTGCTTAGAGAAGCATATATTTGCTGGTTTTACATTCCTGTCAATTTTATGGAATGTTTCTTTTATCATGGCCTTTTTCTTAAGTATTTGGAATAAAGATCTGTTTCCCAAATTCAATCTGAATGAATCATTTTTTTTTTTTGAAGAATTGAATTTTAGTTTTCTGGGTTTTTTTTGGGGGGGGGGGGATGGATGGGGTTGACAATTGAATGACTATTTTCAGTAATAATAAGGTTATACAACAGAATGATCATATTAAAAAAAAAGTAACAATATACATGTATATGTTTCTATTTGTAGTCAAGATGGAGAAGATATTGAAGTTGAAAGATCAGAGGATGTTGTCATGGCAATAATCAATTGGACTCATGTTGCAGATCTCATTCAGCCAATCAAGATCATGCTTTCATCAATGTTAAGAGAGCTTGCGACTAGTTACCAGATTAAGGTGTGACTACTTGTTTTGTACTATAGGGCTTGTTTATCCAGAAATTAATGATTTGTATCAAATTTGTTGAAATTAAGTCTGGAAAAGGAATCAACTTCAATAAGAGTGCTTATGTTTGGCATTGAAAAAACATGTGATTGGTTCATTATTGTTATTTTGGATTAAAACATAATTTGGTATTGGGTATAGCTTTTCTAGTGGGATATTTGAGAAAGGTAGAAATTTGCCTGTCTTTTCATTAAGCAGAAATAACTAAAATCAAAATTAAAGTTCCATATATAATGATTCAGATTAAAGTTCCATATATAATGAAATAAAATGTAAAGCTATGCTAAGAAATGAGAAAAAATAGGAACAGTTTAAGTTGTTCTATCAACATGTTATTGTGTTATGTCTGTGTCTCATTGCTACAGGATATATAATTTTAAATGGTATATAGTTTCAGTTGAATTTTATATCAATATAACAAGATACATGTGTATATGTGTAATACAGTTTTGTTTTGAAATAATATCACCTAATGCGTTAAATATGATGAATTGTAATTCTTGTTTCACTTTTAGAAACAGAACCTGCAGTTGCCGATTTCTTGCCTAAACTTTATCACTACTTACTATGTTCACTGTCAGTCACAGGTAAATCTTTGATCATTTCTTTATTAAGTTTTAACCTACATGCTGTACCTTTTTTACCTTCATTGTGTTGAAAACTGGAAGTTTTAGTTTGATTGTAAAAAAAACTATAAGCTTATAGACACCCTCTTGAAAGGAATTTAGTTGATACAAATTTATTTTAGTTTAATTGTCTAAGAAGCTATAAGCTTATAGAAACACTCTGGAATCCAAACCTGGAACCAACATTTGCTACATTTGAAGTACTAAGCATTTGCAAACTGAAACAATGCCTTGCTCCTGAAGGGGTTCAAACCCATGCAGCTAGCAAATTTTAGATTTGTAGTCAGACATGTAAACCAGTCGGCCACCACGCCACTCTTAAAGGAATTTGAACTTACAATTGGTAATTTAAATTGTTCTGTAAAAAGTTTGAACCATGTGAAAAGTTAAGGTCAAGTTGATATTTCTTTAAAAAAAAAGGTATATTTTTAATGTATTTTTGAAGTTACATGGTGCTGATATAGTGACCAGTTTACAAGAAATGCAGCAAATTTACACAGACTGTGTCCAACACTGGAACTCTATAGGATTTTCTTCAATACTTTCTAAACTCAGGTACCTTCCTTGATAATGAGATAATTATATTGTACCAGTCAAAAGCACTTAAAGCTTTCATTTTTAGTTGGACTATTTAAAGAATAGGGAGAGCTATTGTGCTCACTCAGTCATTGGCGAATGTGTTGGCATCAAATTCAGTCACACTGTTGTTATTAAGTTTATATTTTCAAATTAGTATCTGAAGGGAATGGGTTAAAATTTCAACCTCAAAGTGGATTTTGACAGAATTATGGCCCTTTAAATTGTACATTTTCAAGGCTCTTGTTTTTCTATCAAGCACTCAGAAAAGTCAAACATGCTGTCATATAAACAACTCTTGTTACAACTTTTCGAACTTAAAACTTGCCAAATCATATATATAAATTACTTCTGATATTGTGTGTTTAAGATGTTTTTGTTTTGTTGTTATTGTTCTTTTTTTTAAAATTTATACTTTCAATTTCAGTTCTCATTCAAGCATTCTTAATGAAACAAAACGGTTTGAGGAATGCAGTTGTCTTCCTGAATATGGCAGCTCTTCAGTAAATGAAGATCAGTTTGTTTCTGTAGTGAGAGCCCAGTCTTCCTGTGGCTTTCTAACAGCCTGGTACAGAATGGTTTACAGCTTTGCTAAAGTGCACAGGGGCTTACAGTCTGTAAATCAGGTAGTGTGAAACAAATAAACATTTTTAATAAGAGAATATATCATAATAATATTATAATGCTTTTAATATGTTAGTTATAAAAGTCTCTGATGACATATACAGTTGATTCTACCTTGAATGAGATCAGTAACAAAAACAAAAATCAAAGTTTCATATTTTTCTGAAACTGTATAACAAATTTACAGACTCCTTTAGTATAAAAGTTGTTAATGATGCATAATTTAAACCTCTTTTTACCTGCTCTTGTGATTGCATACCATTAAAAGTGTTTTACTCTTTAATGTAAGAAATTATCCCACTAGTTTGCAGAAGGTAGTTGACATTTGATGCCTTTGTTTCATCAGTAATGACTATAAGTGGCCTTAAAACTATTACCTTCACACGGTTGTTTTGTGACCTTAATAGGAACGGGCCTCAACATTACAGTATCTGTTCACAGCTATAATCAATGTTTACAATATAAAATGTTGCAAAGGTTTAAAATTTTAGCAGGATTTTGAACAGCTGGTATCTCCCACCCACAAGACATGTCATCATCTCATTCCAAAGCCGTCATTGATGAAAAATTTTATGTCGATATATCAAAAGACAAATATCGACGATATATCGACTTTAACAGTAAATACAATGAAAAACATTTAAATATGTGTTATAAATTAGGATCATGGTGTTATACATGCTGGTATTAGACATAACAAATACAGCAAACTAACAGAAAGTTTGTTTTTTCTGTTGTTTTTGTCTTTGACATTTGAAGACTGAGTTTAAAGTTCAAGTTAGCCAATGACAGGAAAAAAGTGACTTCTCTTATTAGGCAAAATAGAGAGGTATATTCACTAACAGAAATAAATAAATAAATTTTAGCTTGTATCAATATTTAAAAGTGTGTATTGGAAGATGAATATCGATGATATATCGATATTGCGATATTCAGTGACAGCCCTATCTCATTCTATGAAAATGTTTTTAATGCATCAACCTGTATTGAGTTTTATTTTTTATGACACTTTATTTCAAAGACACTCATAGTTATAACCAATTGTGTGTGGGAGAGTAGCTTTAAAACCCTGCTGATGGGCGTATTGTTTTTCTGTGCTTTATAGGTATTTTAAGTCTGGAAATACATGTATATGAAGTTATGAACTTCTTGTGTGATATATATATACTTTTATTGTAATAAAACAAGCATTTCATATCTTAAATGATGCTACCAATGAAAGACTTGTCATGAATAAAATTGTTCCTAGGTAAAATGTGATATCAATGAAGAAATTTTACCAGTAAATACAAGAAAATATATCAATGTTTTAAGCTCGAAGCAGACAGCATAGTTTCTCCATTGACAATGCTGCAGAGTACAGATCTTTGGAATTACCTTCGCAAGATTGCTGCCGTCAAACTACATCATCAAAACTACTTCACAAGATTTGAGACTTTCCTTCTCTACTTCATTGTAAAATTGGCAACCTTAATGGTAATGTATAATTGCTATTTATACATTTGTCTTTATCATTATTAAATTCGTACCCTGTGAGATTTCTTTAAATGACTTAATCCTAGTAAAGTTGTTTTTTTTAATGACTTTTTAGCTCACCTGTCACAAAGTGACAGGGTGAGCTTTTGTGATCGCTTTTCGTCCGGCGTCCGTCCGTCCGTAAACTTTTACTTTAAATGACATCTCAGAAACCGCTGAGCCAATTTCATCCAAACTTCACAGGAATGTTCCTTTGGTGGTCACCTTTAAAAATTGTTCAAAGAATTTAATTCCATGCAGAACACTGGTTGTTGATAAAAAATGCCATGGCAACCGATAGAAAAAACTTAAAATATCTTCTTTAAAAAAACCCAAAGAGGTAGAGCTTAGATATTTGGCATGAAACATCTTCTAGTGGGTGTCTACCAAGTTTGTTCAAATAAAATCCTAGGGTCAAAATTGGCCCGCCCCAAGGGTCATTGTTTTTCTCTATATGCATATAGTAAAAACTTATAAAATCTTCTTTTAAAGAACCCAAAGAGCTAGAGCTAAGATATTTAGCATGAAACATCTTCTAATAAGTGTCTATCAAGTTTGTTCAAATAAAAGCCCTGGGGTCAAAATTGGCCCCGCCCCAGGGGGTCATTGATTTTCCCTATATTCATATAGTAAAAACTTATAAAATCTTCTTTTAAAGAACCCAAAGAGCTTAGTGAGAGCTAAGATATTTAGCATGAAACATATTCTAATGGGTGTCTAGCAAATTTGTTCAAATAAGAGCCCTGGGGTCAAAATTTGCCCTGCCCCTGGGGTCATTGATTTTCCTTATATGTGTATAGCAAAAACTTAAAAATCTTCTTTGAAAAACCCAAATAGCTAGAGTTAAGATATAAAGCATGAAACATCTTCCAGTTAGTGTCTTCAAAGTTTGTTCAAATAAAAGCCCTAGGGTCGAAATGTGCCCTGCCCCGGGGGACATTGATTTTCCTAATATGTGTATAGCAAAAACTCTTCTTTGAAAAACCCAGATAGCTAGAGTTAAGATATTAAGCATGAAACATCTTCCAGTTAGTGTCTTCAAAGTTTGTTCAAATAAAAGCCTTGGGGTCAAAATTGGTCCTGCCCCGGGGGACATTGATTTTCCTAATATGTGTATAGCAAAAACTTAAAAATCTTCTTTGAAAAAAAAAACAAATTGCTAGAGTTTAGATATTAAGCATGAAACATCTTCTAGTGAGTGTCTTCAAAGTTTGTTAAAAAAAGCCCTGGGGGCAAAACTGGCCCCGCCCTAGGGGTGTCATTGCTTTGAACTATATGTGTATATTTAAAACTTTTAAAATCTTTTTTTTTAAAAACTCAACAAGCTAGACCTTAGATGTTTTGCATGAAACATCTTGTAATGGGTGTCTACCAAGTTTGTTCAAATAAAAGCCCTGGGGTTTAAACTGGCCCCACTCTGGGGGCCTATATACAGGTGAGCGACTTCAGGGCCATTATGGCCCTCTTGTTTTATTATTATGATTGGAATAAAATACTTAACTCATGCGGACAGTAGTGTAAAAACTGGTAAAGCTAACACAGATGTTAACACACGTTTTTCAGAAGTCACTGCCAAAGGCCTATAACACTCACATGGATTTTGACAGAATTATGGCTTTTTTTGAACTAAGAAAATTCTATATTACCCAGACTCTTGTTTTACTATCAAGCACTGCGAGTAGTCGAGCTTACTGTCCTAGTGACAGCTCTTGTTTTATCTGAGTTCTGTAGTTTTGACAGCAGCATTTATTAAACTTCAGTTATTAAAAACAAGCTTTTATAGACAGATTTCAGTGAATTTATTGGTATATTTATGTATTATATCACATATTTGCAGCCATCAGCATGTGGCAGTATTGATATGTCAGTTGTCCACCAGGTGGCTCTGAAGTTACTAACATCTGTACAACATGGTGACGAATATCTCATACATGATTTACTCTCTACTGTCATTTTTGATCCAGTATTCTTTGAGTAAGTTAATGATATTTTCTAATGTACTTTAATAATGGAATGCCCCTTGTAGCAGAATTATTGCCTTTACAGCTTGAGGGATCAGAATTGGGTGATCATAAGAGGCAACTAAATGAGTTGGAATTACTACAGTCTGTGCATCTCTTAGCTCCAGCAGGTGAGATGGTTTTGCCACCTGGTGTTGCTTGTAGCACACATATAGTTAGCCAAAATCATCTTTCCTGTTTAAGTGCCATATGATATATACAGTGTTGGTGCCCAGTAAAACCAAACAGAAAAAAAAAATCTTAATGGAACTGTCCTGTTTTCAATTTGGAACTGTCCCTTTTTTAGTCTGAAAAATATAGATGTTAATTTATATATTAGAATGAAATTGAGCATCAAACAGTATAAACAGTGACCAGACTACATATATACATAGATATGCTGCCGATTTGGCTCTATATTGGTCCACATGGCTGGTTTATGGATACTGCTGCCTTAACTTACTCAGTAATTTAGTTAATTATTTCTTGCTAAACTTTTAAAAGTGACATATTCATTTAGTGTTGTTTTTTAATTATTTTAGATCTGAGTCAGCAGACACGTCAGCAGATAGACTAGGGGAGATGACTTTGTCTACACCAATACATCTACAAACAGTAACAGCAGAACAAATAGAGATTGTAACAGAAGAGTTAGTTAAAGAAGCAAAGCAAAACCTGAATTCTATCAGGGCTGCATACCTGGCAGCATTCAGCTACAGTGAGCAGCAAGTGTTACTATCAAGGTAATCTACTTTAACTCAGATATTTATCCAATGATTTTAAAAGTTATTATGAAATATGACCCTTACTCTTGGGATAATTCATGTTAACCATGTTTTGCTCCAAAATTGGAAATTATGTCAAGGGGACTGTAGCTTAGACTTGTTCCCTTAGTTACGAAAATATTGCCTTGTCTGCAAATACAAACAGCTCAAACATTTTACAACAATTACCACTTTTGGCATAGCTATTTCATCACAAAATTTTAATCTAACAATTGAGGGAGGGGAAATGTGTGGTGGGATAATTCAGTGTTATTCAGGAAGTTGAGAAGTAAAAGTACTTAATTGGGTAGCCAATAGTATTATGTTAGCCAGGTTACATGACAGTTTGGGCTTTTCCAGATTTACTCTGGTAGAAAAGGCAAAGTCTTGGTGTTAAACACTGTGTTAATAATTTGGATATATCGCAATATTGTGATTTTGTGTCTCTTGTTATAAACTTTTCAGGAGTCATTATGTAGGTGACACCATGGCAACAAAAGATTGTTTTACCTCCAATATTGGAGAGTCTGTGATGCCAAATGATTGGATATTTCTTCCTCTAATAGACCTCTATAACAAGTACAGCACTGTGTAAGCATGCCTTTTTATTTCACTTCCATTCATACAAATTTAAGCATTTAATAGTTTTCAGTTCATTATATTTACATGAAGAATATGCATTTGACATTCAACTTTTTACCGACATAAAGACACATTATGCCTCAGAAAAGAATAAATCTTTACTTCTTTAGAAATGGCAAACATGAATATGAAGACTTTTAAAATATGGTTTAGAGCATGTTACATGCTTGTTACGCGAAAGTAGAAAGTAGGGATAGTTATGAAATAAAATGTACAAGTAGCAAAATGTAAACAAATTGATAATTTGACTTCCATACAAAATCACTATAACTATAATTACAAAAAAAAGCAACAGAAGAAAAAGATGATTCAGGTATTCAGCCAATGAATAACTTTTTGGAAACTATAGAAGTACACCAAAAATAAAAAGCTTTTGTGAAATGAAAATAAAAGCATTTCTGGGGCATAATGAATGGGCCTTTACATTTGAATTGAAAATACATGTATCTGAAACATTTGTTTTCCTTTCACTGTAGGTGTTACAGTGTATGGTAAACATTTATATTTCAGTGGAGCAGAGGTTCAGAATATTTTATCTAGCTCTCAGCTTGACACTGTCAGGTGTGTTTTACGATGGATATACCTGATGGAATCATATAGATCATTTGTGATAGAGGGAGTTTCTGTCACGCTGAAACTGTCACGCATCATGTGCGCGTTTCTTACAGGTATGTTTAGATTTGAATTTTAGTTAAAACTTATTTTCTTGAGGCAAGTAAAGTTGGTTCCTTTATAACTTATATTATACAAAAGGTAAGTATTACAAAAACTGTCAAAGAAGGTTTTGTTTGTTTGTTTGATTGGGTTTATGTCACACTGGCCCAATAAAGGTCATATGGCAACGTTCCAGCTTAACTGGTGGAGAAAGACCTCTCGTGCCCTTCAGTGCATAATTTCAGGCACGGATAGGCACCTAAGTAAAACCACCAACATTCTGTAAGCTAGCTGGATAGCTTCCTCACATGAAAGAATCCAAAGTCCCTGTTGGGATTTGAACCGACAGCAGTGAGGAGCAAGTGGTTTAAATTAAAGGTGAGAATGATGTTAAGTTTATTATGCTATTACCTATAGTTAATCAATAATCATCAATTCATTAAAGTTTGTGATCCTTAAGCTAAAAAATTTACAAATGTGTTGTTTTACATTTCAGGAAATGACATGTTTCTGGATCGAACAATACACTGTTTTCTGGCTGGATTACTGAGATTGTACTCTAAACCTGCTATACTTAACAAGATGAACTTCTCAGAAGATATTCCAGGTCTACCGTCATTCTATGACTTGTAAGTACACAACTTGTACTGATAATTATCTAGTTTTTTGCAAATCTAGTTAGACTTGTTGATTTTTAACAAAGAAAGTCTGCTTAAAGGATTTTTCAGCTTGTTAATTTAATAATGATGTTGTTACCCACAGAAATATAATGATTATGTAAACAGCCATTGAACGTAAAGTGAACCAAGGCAAGCATTCCTATGAACCCTGGTCCGCTTTTGGCTGGTACCTAACATGGGCTGAAAAAAACTCTTATTCTCATTATAATCACAAATTTTATTTAAAACAGTTTCAAAATGAATACTGGGCACATGACCTTTTTGCAAAAGCAGTTAGTGCAGTATTAACTTCATCAAACATAAAATATGGTTTTACTAGTATATGGGTATACATTTTTGTTTATTTTGATACTTTGAATAGGATTATTATATAATTTAGAGATAATTTTTTTATTTCAGATATATATCATTACTGCAGCAGTATGAGGCAGTATCATTTGGTGACTCATTATTTGCTTGCTACGTTATAATCCCACTTCAACAGAGACATAGTGTACAGTTCAGGAAAGCTATCTGGACAGAATACACAGGAATTTTGCGAACTCTTACACTCCCACTGAATGAGGTGATAATTGTTGTATTTAGTTTAGCCAGATTTTTACGAAAGCTTAAACCTCTATTTGACACTCTATTTGACCCTCTCTTGTTTTAATTTGCTTCCTTGAATCTACCTGTATAGGTGTCAGTAGAGGGAGCATGATAATGACCCCGGTAGGGCAACAGTGGTCTAGCAGTTAGGGTGGCTTACTGTAAATCTCCTCATATCACTGTAGGTTTGAGTCCCATCAGTGGACTTCATATTCTTATACATGCAGAAGCTAGCTAAAAGAAAGCTGATGGCTCTATTGAGTGCCCAACATAGATGTTGTCTTTCTAGGAATAAGGTTTTTTGCATTTACCGGCCATGATTTATATGACAGAGGTATATGCAATGTTTGTGTGTTTTTTACCCTAAACTTGGAACCAGAATTGATTAACCCTTGCCACTCAATGAAGCCATGCCAGTCAGTTTGTACACCTTTGTACAGTTTGACTAGGCCTTGAGGAAATAAAGCTTTATTCTGAGCTTTGTCTCAAATCTCAGGATTTTCATTGGTGAGTGTACATTCTGTGGATGTTTCTGACCAATGAAATACCCAAGATCTGAGTTTGGGCTTAGAGAATTTCTTTATAACTACGAAGCCAGGCTCTATACAATAGATAACTATTTTTGTATATTAAAACTCTTTAACTTCAAATGGACTGTTCCAAATTCAAAGTAGGACAAATCCATTGCACAAATTCAGGAGGTTTTGGGTTAACGGCTGGAAATACTCTGTATGAACTGAACTACATCATTGTGACATCAATTTCAACAGAAATGAATTCAGCATGTTATTTAAAATCCTGTATGTTTTTAAATATGTATATTTTTTATGTGTTTCAGTTACCGTTACCAGTTCAACTCTTCCTAGAGCCAGAGGAGACAAATGTGGAGTTGATACGTCTATATTACCAGAGCATGTTTGGTGGTACCCTGCGACCATGTTGGAGCCCTGTACTGTACCTAGTGGCGGTACATCATGTGAACAGATTCATGTATACACAGGATAAAACACATGTCAAACTGAAATCTACAATGATGTCACGAATATTGAAGTGCAAGAATGAGGTAACTTGCCGAGCTTTGTTTTCTTGTTTTATGAAAATGAGGCAAATATTATTAAACCTGTCGGCCCCCAAAATGTTGACAAGAAACCATAGGCTGAGTTTGATTTTAGGGTGGATAGGCAGTCCAAATAATACTGGGAGATCCAGTGTTGCATTCAACCTTTAATATCATGTCACACTTTAATTTAATTGTCTGAGGTGAAAAAGAATTAAGTTATGAAAATACTGAAAATTGAAAAACTATCAGCAGCTGTTGACAATTGTTATAAAAACTAGAACTGTGTCCAAAGGACACGGATGCCCCCACTGACAACATATATATGGTATATAGTGAAAATATCAACAAAGGGCCATAATTCTGTTAAATTTGGTTGCAGCAAAAATTCCTTCCTTTACTACCATCTACACATTAAGGTTGTTCATCCCTGGAAGTTTAAGCAAAATCTGCCATCCGGTTTAAGAGGAGTTGCGTTCACAAGATTTCGGGATGTACGGACAGACTGACGGACAGACGTACGGATGGATGGACAAGTGCAACGCTATATGCTACCACTCTGTGGGGGCATAAAAACTAATAATTGTAAAATGTAGACTTTGTAAAATTTACTAATCAATTTTATTGATAAATATTTCTGTTTTGATTTTTAAAAAATTTCTTTTCTTTTCTGGATGCATGCAACTTTAATGTTTTTATTTGTTTGTTTGTTGTAGGATTTAAAGAGACACTTAATGATGTACAAACAAGCTGATATTACCATGGCATTCGGAATGAAACTGTACGAGACCCTTCCAGCAATTAGACAAACATTTATAGATTCATTAAAAGTCTCGTGATTTGTGGAGTGTACAATAAGACCCAAGTGAATTTAAAGTCTGTTCCTGTGTTTGTACAGAAATATTATCATAGTTTTATATAATTGTGTCAAATGCATGGAGGGTCATCCAAGATCTTCCTCCATCAGTTAAGCTGGAACGTCACCATGTGACCTTAACTATGCTGGTGCGAATAACACCAAATAAAAATTGTTATATACATGTGTATACATTGTATATTAGATATGTATATGTGTGTTTCAAAACAAAGACGAATGTGCAATTGGATGAATTTCCTGATTAGTCTGTTTTTACTGTATAATACTTTATGCGAGTGTGAAACAGTGGTGTAAAACTAAGACTAAGATAAACTCTTCAGATGGAGAATCATTTGAAACAATATTAACTATTGCTATAACATTTCATTTTATAAGCAAGCACCTTCATCTCTGGACACAACATGTCTCTGTGAAAGAGCTTCATTTGTAATATCACATTTGCTTTTAAATAATAGTAAAGTAAAGAATTTGTTACATCTTTTTCTTGTATGCTTTAGATAACAGGAAATATGTTGATTTGTTTTTTCCATTTCATGCTGATTTGAACATGTTTTTGGTCTTATGTCTGTGGTTGTAATTACTAACCAGTAATTACTAATTTCTCCGCAAGTAACTGACAGCTAATCCACATAGATTCTGAATCAGCGATTAAAGTCGAAAGACCATAAGGCTTGAAGCCCAAAACATTAGTCCTGGAGAAATTAGGGCTCATCTGATGATTGAACCAGCAACCTGACCCCTAGATAACAAATCTGATACTCTCCCTATAGAGCTAAAAAGACAGACTTCATTGGTACAGCCAAGCAAACTTATTTATAAATGTCTTGAAATGATGTTACAATTTTCTAATTTAAGGTACAAGGGAAGTAACCTCTGTTGGGAGTATGTCAATGTGTGTGTACAAAATTAGTAGCTATGTTTAAATTGTATAACTGTCTAAATGGGTCTCTTTGGTTAAAAACAGAGAAATTCTCCAAATTTTGAACATTTTATTTTTCAAAACAATCACATACTATACATAATTTCAATTCAATGACAAGTTACTTAAACAGTATTTACATATATATCAGAAAACTGCAATTCACCATCAAACATTTACATTTTCAGGCTATAATAAATTCAAAGCTTCAAAATACAGTCATTCATAAGACAAGTATGGACAAAAACGCAATAAATCTAATGTTATCTTTACACTCACATATACACTGTTTGTTATATTTAAAAAAATGTGATCACAAAAAAATACTTTTCAAAACCAATGTGTCTTCAATGAATTACAATCATCAAATAAAACAACACCAAAGAAATGATAAATGACCACAATATTAATGATGAAAGATATTGTCTGACATAATCTTGTATGCATTTATACAATATGATTTTTTTCATGATGAATTAATCATAAAAAATACATTAATAAAATAATTAAAAACTGACACTGTACATGTATATGTCATTATGTTTTGTTTTTTTTGGCTTACATACTATTGGTATAAATAAATTTGGGATATCAGTTTGTTTCATGCAGCCAACTGTTGTATAGCAAACTGTTGTATGCAGCCAGTATACAGCCAACTGTTACATATGCAGCAAACTTTTACATATGCAGCACACTGCTACATATGCAGCACACTGTTCTGTTACATATCAAGTCAACTGTACATATGTAGTACATTGTAACATATGCAGCAAACTGTTACATATACAGCCAACTGTTACATATTTAGCACACTGTTACATATGCAGCCAACTGTTACATATGCAGCCAACTGTTACATATGCAGCCAACTGTTACATATACAGCCAACTGTTACATATTTAGCACACTGTTACATATGCAGCCAACTGTTACATATTTAGCCAACTGCTACATATGCAGCACACTGTTACATATGCAGCCAACTGTTACATATCAAGTCAACTGTACATATGTGGCACACTGTAACATATGCAGCCAACTGTTACATATACTGCACACTGTTACATATACAGCCAACTGTTACATATTTTAGCACACTGTTACATATGCAGCCAACTGTTACATATGCAGCCAACTGTTACATATGCAGCACACTGTTGTATGCAGCCAACTGTTACATATACTGCACACTGTTACATATGCTGCAAACTGTTACATATCAAGTCAACTGTACATATGTGGCACACTGTAACATATACAGCAAACAGTTACATATGCAGCCAACTGTTACATATACAGCCAACTGTTACATATGCAGCAAACTGTTACATATGCAGCAAACTGTTACATGTGCAGCCAGTAAGCAGCCAACTGTTACATGCAGCTAACTTTGCCATATTTGCGGGCTGCTTTACACAATTTTGACTGTATAATATTATATATTACACCCAATCTTATTATTTGAAAACCAGCTTCTTTTTGCTATATGATTAAGAACATTTAAAAGCTTTTGTGTAATAAAAATATGAATGATCAGACAAATTAGCACAGTTTAAAAGGTAGCAATCACAAAAATGACTTCCATTCAGCAATATCTATTTATTCAGTAAAGGATTTATTTTCCCCCAAAATTATCTGTTACCAGAACAGAATTTATCTGTCTGCATGAAGAGATCAAATGTTACAGAAAAATATAATTAGAAATGCTATCTGCAACAAAGTGATCATAGCTTTGTAAACCAATGTCTCATAAATATGTAATCAAAGTTTACAATATTTTAACCAGCATTTTAACAAGTAATATTTCTGGTTCATAAAATGTCAATTAAGAAGGCATTAAAACCACTTTTTAATATCCTTAATCAGTAAACCTAATACAATCTGTATAAATATAAACAAGTATGTTAACACTTGTCTGTTAAAAATTATAAGTAAAAAAGGGACATAAATCCAAAAATATTGTTTTCATAATCATGCCCCTTGTCAAATAACTGCAAGCATTCACAGTTTCATATTGATACCTTTTTAAATGTTTGAATAATTGTGTACATTGTTTTTGTACAACAACGACGATTAGATAAAAATAATAGCTGGACTTTTTCTAAAAAAGGATAACAATTTTTGCTTTGTAAGATATGCATTCACGCTTGTTATTAAGCTTCAAATTATTTAATTCTGACAAGAAAGCTGCAAGGGATTTTCCTTTTTTACAAAGTTTTAACAGATTCTGACAAACAGATAATTTTTGATGATTCACAGTGAATTTGTTTGATAAAACTGAGGCTAGATGATCAAGTCAGTGTCATAATTACATGATCACAGCAGACTTTAAGTGGAGGACTGTCTATAATTTGCTGTGTTGATGATTTTCTTCCCACACATTGCACAGATACCTTTTTTGTATGCACAACCTGAAAAAAATACAGATATTTTAAAACTATTTATTTGGCTAACAATAACAATTCCAAAACCAAAAAGCTTTTATAGATTACATTTTGTATTCCTCATCAACATGAGACATATACCATGTGACATTTTTATGATCTAGGTGGAGCAAAAAAAAATCCAATAAAAGAGACTTTACAGATTTTAGTTTCTTTCATAACTTTTTTAATATTTTGTTATTTTTTATTTGATCAAGTGTAAAACCCTTTCATTCTAGCAAGTTACACATGTTTATAGGACACTTCACAAAGAAAAAATCAATACAAAGTCATGTGGTATAGGCACCATGATTAATTTCATTATGTCAAAATGTCATGCTATGTTGGGTCAAGCAGTAAAACATACATACATTCTTTAAATATTATATACAAATATGACTAGTGTAAATCCCTAATTTCATTATGTCAAAATGTCATGCTATGTTGGGTCAAGCAGTAAAACATACATACATTCTTTAAATATTATATACGAATATGACTAGTGTAAATCCCTATTTTAGCATTACAACCCTGAACCTACTGACAATGAAAGTGGTGGTGGTGGTGTTGGTAGGTTTCACTCAGATCATAGCATTAACCCACATTGAATTTACCAGAGCACAGTTCAGCAACTGCACCTTTCCTGGGCAGGCTGTCAATCAGTTTACCAGTACCACTACCAGTTGCCTTCACTTTCTCAATGAACTGATAACTTTTGAACATGCCAGAGCAGAGATACAGTGCGAATGTCCGTAGAAGGGATTTCATAATCAATCACAACGGAAGTGACCTGAACGGTCCGGGAATCTAACCCTGATTCGCTTGATTCATAGTCCCATTTAATTAAAAGACAAAATAATATACAACATACCCTGACAGTAGTGTGAACCTTTCTGGTGTACTGAAGACTTGCAGATTCTACATTTCTCAAAAGCTGTACTATATGGGGAATATCTGGAAAAAAAAATCTTGATATTATATTCTTCATATTGACTCTTGTACATTATTAGACTCTTGTACATTATTAGTTACCATTATAGTCTACCTATAGTACTCTACTGTACTTAATAACTTATTGCAGAATTAGCACAAATATTATATAATGTGTTTGAACAAACAGTAATTTTATTAGCTTGGTTGTAATGTAAGTTTGAGTCTGCGTTCTAAACCTACCTAGTACAGGTGTCTTATGAGGAAATATGGTCATAATGAGAGTAGTGCCCAAACCATAAATCGGCTAAATCCTTCACTTAACAGGCAGACACCTTAACCATGAGACCACATCTCCATAAATAAATTTTTAGATTTTACAATGTGCCATTATTCAACTTTAACTTGGAACAAAATTCTTATTGATCAAAGACTATATAAAAATAGTAAAAATTTAGTAATATCTTTTCGGATGTGAAAGAAAATTACCAATTTTCCACTTGAGTGATAATGTAATATTATACTTATACATGTAAGTAGAAAACTGCTTACAAATAAAGCCTTACCTGTTCTTTTTCATAGTAAGAGCTTTATTTTCATTCACAGATCTACCACCTCCCTCTGTAAGAAATAGATTAATTATATACAAGTGTAAAGTACAACTCGTTTTCTGATAAAAAGCCTAATAAAGTCATTGATAGATTGAAGTTTCCACCTTTTTCTTCAGAGTTTTTCTTAATCAAACAGTGTCTAAGAATTAAAATATAAAATAAGTTAAACTGCAAACTAATAGATTTTAGCTGTAAAATAGTTAATTGTGAAAATGATATGTATATTGTTTGCCTATGATTCCTTCATTTAAATAAATCATACAATAAAATTTTGTCTTTTGGTTTATACATATTTATTTACGCTCCATTGAAAATCAAGTTCTTGCAACCTATATTAATCACTTTTGAGTCCACTTCCTGGAACCAACCAGTACTGTACTGGTGTCATATGAAGAAACATAGTTGTGACCCAATTAGGGCTCGAACCCAAGATCCACGAGTTGAGAGGCAGACACCTTAACCACTAGGCCATGGCTCCCCTTGTCTTTTACCATGAGTATTAATGACACCAACATTATGATGTCTTGATGTTGCTTTAACAGAACCTAAAGCAGGGTTTAAATTTTAATATGCAGAACAAGAGCTGTCGGTAGGACAGCAACGCTCGACTATTCTTAGTGCTTGATAGTAAAAAAAAATGCTTGATAGAGTTACCTCCTCCTGTTTACAGGTTGGGGTCATGATGGTGAACAAGTGTGAGAAGTTTCAAAGCCATATGTCAATGGACTTTGAAAATATTTGAACTATTACAAAAACATTAACGTAAATTCTAAGTCGAAAAAGGGGCATAATTCTGTCAAAATGATTGATAGAGTTACCTCCTCCTGTTTACAGGTTGGGGTCATGATGGTGAACAAGTGTGCAAAGTTTCAAAGCCATATGTCAATGGACTTTGAAAATATTTGAGGTATTACAAAAACTTTAACTTAAATTCTAAGTCAAAAAAGGGGCATAATTCTGTCAAAATGCTTGATAGGGTTACCTCCTCCTGTTTCCAGGTTGGGGTCATGATGTTGAACAAGTGTGCAAAGTTTCAAAGCCATATGTCAATGGACTTTGAAAATATTTGAACTATTACAAAAACTTTAACGTAAATTCTAAGTCGAAAAAGGGGCATAATTCTGTCAAAATGCTTGATAGAGTTACCTCCTCCTGTCTACAGGTTGGGGTCATGATGGTGAACAAGTGTGCAAAGTTTCAAAGCCATATGTCTATGGACTTTGAAAATATTTGAACTATTACAAAAACTTTAACATAAGTGGTTACGCCGACGCCGACGCTCGGGTGACTGCAATAGCTCTACTTATTCTTATCGAATAGTCGAGCTAAAAAAAGTAAAATTTATTTTCAGCTTCAGTGACTTTAACAAAATTGTCTGTATGTCTCTGAAATCAGCTACTAATTGAAGGTGTAAGGAGTAACTACAAGTAACAGTGGGATGATTGCAGGGTAAGAGACAATACACTTAGTAATAGAAAAAAAACATGAAAAGCTAAGACATCAACATAATTACCTGTTGTATTTCTTGCACCAGACTTCCATGGATCAGGAGTAATAACCTTTCCAAGTTTTTTCTGACCTGCAATACGATAAGAGAAGATTCCAAAATTAAAGTTTGGATTGCTTAAACTTGCTTTTTAAAAAATATTTACCTGTTTAAACAATCTACATAAATATCTTTCATATGAACTATTAAATGCACTGATCCACTTCTTACAATATATATGTATGGTACTGACATGCATGTACCAGGAAAACTAAAGAACTACTTAGGTACATGGATATAAAAAATTAGGTTTGACATGACTTTATCTTTTTAATTCCATAAAAGAGATGAACCCCATTTCCTATTCATATTCTTTCAAGAAATAAAAAAAGACATAAGTACAGTATATACTTCAACTTGAACCTTTCTTGTGATAAAAAGAAACTATACACTGTGACTCTGCTACAGGTTTTGTTAGGAAAAAGGACAAAAGCCCTCCCATCTAGAATGACATGGCGGACAAAAGCTCTCCCTTGAAAATGAAAGGGTGGACAAAAGCCCTCCAGTGAAAAAGTATTGGTGGACAAAAGCCCTTACCAGGAACTAATGTTTCCCCGTATTGCCCAGACATGATGTGAAAATTACTTTTGACATCAATAAAACATTGCTTTTTAGTATCATACTATAATTTATTTATATTTGTTCTCATTACATCTGAAAAGTTTCAACTGCTTTGCACTGGAAAATCATGGTTAAGTATATATCAAACAAATTCTAATTGGCTTACAAAAACGTTTAATGTGTTACCACAATTAATATATTTTGAAAATCAACAAGGGCAGAGAAATGTGGGGGCAGGGTCTGACCATGGTCCATGATTTATTAAAAATCATGAAATGAGTAAATGAAAGGCCTACCACATAGAAGTTATAGCAAGAGTCTGACAGAATTTGAGGGTATTCATGTTTATGTTTTTCTGTCTATAAATAAAGGATTTATTTTCATTGAGTGGTAAGGAAATAAACATTTCATGATTGACTGAAGCCACAAGCAAAATATGAAAAAATTTCATACCACAAGATGTAAATAAAACCTGCCATGAGTTACAGTAGCGACACATATATGTCACATAAAATATCAAATTCATACCACAAGATGAAATCTAAAGAAAAAACTTGAATTTTCTGTTTAATATATACATTTTTCTCTTTTATGACATTACAATTTAAGACTTCCTCATAAATTTAGTGTAAAGTTTGACCAGGTATATATATTATCCTGGTTGTACTATCTACCGGGAGTGTAAGCCTTATTAGGCCCACCATCATATAATACAGAAAAAATCTCGGATAAAATAGTTATTTTCTGTAGAAGGTACCATTTTTTGATGAAAGTAACAAATATCCAAAAGAATTTTTAACTACAAATCAAAAAGATGGTTCGGTTAATAACCTCATAAGAGTGGCAGCCATCATTGTTTTTAAGTACTTAATACCAGGAATGACTTTTAAGGTGACAACAGACACTTTCCGTGGTACTCACATAAATGTCATTTAAACCAACTTATTTTAGTAATAATTGTTATTTATTTAATCTTTATGCATTAAATGTCGTTGATCAACATAAAAAATAACATATTTGAAAAAAATGCCTTTGTAAATGATTGATTTTTAATAAAAATCCTAAAATTTTAAATCGTCATATCAAAGTCATTTTGTATTTTTTTGTCATCAAACTTTTGGAAAATAAACATACTTATAATATCTGGGGAACCGTGTCTCAAATTTTTTCTATCTTTTCTCAAAAAAATATTACGTAACGTCAAACATTTTATGCGACTTTTTTCACCATACATATTACGTAATTAAAGATAATTAAGTCGCTGATTGAGCAAACAAAAATCCCTGACACGGTTCCCTCCGTAAATAAATTCCCTTTCATGTGCTTTAAACCGCATGTTAATCGCTCGATTATTAAACAAGTTATGCCGATTCAAAGTTAGTCCGACCCGCATCAAACGAAGTGTCATAAATCGGCTGTTCTCTCTCGGACCCCTACGTTTCACGCTAAATAATTGCATAATACACAAATATCGCACCAGAGAGGGTCACAAGTTGCGCTAACATACTCTAACAACATTTTATGACCCAGTGACATCTGACCAATTAAAAAGTTGCTGATAAATATCAGTTTATAACAGAAATTTCTTCAAATCTTAACGTGATTTACTGTCGGTCGCACATGTCACGTGACTTTCGGTAAAATTTGAGGCACTCGGTGGGGGGAAATGGAACGTATTTGCGCACCGCTAGCGGGGTTTTTAATTGTTTCATTTTTGAAGATTATTATTATTATCATCAGCATTATTATTATATTATACCAGTGTCACTCTGTCTGTGTATTCGTGTATGAAATTCCGTTAAAATATAAATTAAAATAACAAAAAACTGAGCTTCTGATGGTCTTTTAAAGTCCATGGTAAATGTAAAAATAAAAACGAGATATTATATATTTCTTCCTCCAAATTGAAATAAATGCTTGACATATTATAATTGAAATAAAAGGTATCACTCGATCATTATGATTTGACCTTTATGACTTCTTTTATCATGAAAATCATCTATGCACGGCATAGATATCCAGTTTCTACTGGGATATACAATAAATTCCATACTTTGTCCCAGGTTTATTAGTACTGTGTTCGATTTACTGGCGAACAATTTATTCAGAGCATTCACTGATAGTATATATTAATATCTTTTTTTATTGATTCATAGAGAAATGATCATCCTTAAACAATCTAAAATGGTTTAGAAATTTGTCAGGGACACCTTACCACAAGTCATATAGGCGTTCACATAAAAAATGTTGTCTGTTTCTGTTGTTGTTTTACTTGTCATTGTTAGAAAACGAGGTTGAATGTAAAGCAAGCCGATGAATCCGTACAAAAGTCCATAAACTCAATGTAATATCTATCAGATTAACGGGACAGACAAATTATTTTCACACATTATGGATATTTTAGCAACTATATTTTAAATCAACCCGTGGTCGTGCGATTTGCCGCTATGCTTAATTATTTATGTTTCATACATTATGTTACGTACATTGGCCGACAATTTCTTATTTTATAAAAATGCTTAATAAAAGGTAGACGATATTCATAAAAGATGTACGGTATTTGTACGATACATGAATTACGAGTAGTATGGACCAGTATGGACGGGTAATACACGGATATATGGAACTACCGATTTCCCTCATTGATGCCTCAACAGGGGGCGGAGCGTTATCGATAATTGACAGGTTACGCGAATAGAAGATAAAAATGGTACAGGTACCGTTTTAAAACGTTTAAAAACACATTTTTTGGACTAACTGCTTCCAAAATTAAATCACGAATGTGTTCAGAAAAGGTTGATAAATCTACTAAGCAAAGAATCTCATTTTAGGTATTTTAAGTAATAATTGACTCCGTTGTCACCTTAAGCAATCAATAAAAAGTTAAAAACATATGTAAATGGTCCATTACTGCTAATGATACTAAAGTTCTATTCAATATTTATCAGTTATTACACAGTAAAAGGGTAACAATTCGATAAGCATTTGCACACACGTTCAAAATATCATGTTGGGTCCAAATTGTTAGTCATACTACTGGTTTTTATACATAAAACACATTTATGTGAAAAGGGTTATTAAAACTTCGACTTTTCTTCATAAAAATGCTATACTTTGTATGAAATCAATGTAACAAACACTTGCATACAAAAGAATTTTTTTATGTACGAATAATTTGTAATATCTGGACATTCCCGGTACAAAGTACCTCCCGGTATAAAGTACCTTGAGGATAATATACATACCTGGTTTGACTGAATACTTTTAGAAGAAAGTACTTTTTTATAAAACATTTTATTCTCCTAGAATAAGTTTAGAAAAAGTCACATCTTTAGCATGAAAACTAAATTTTAAAGTTGGTTTCGGGAATATTTCTAATAATGTATATATGTCTAAGTGGGATAGGGACAAGGGAAAATCACTACATTAGTCTGACCGAATGAGATTTTGTTTACTTATTCTGAAACAATTGCTCCTGTCTATAACATTTTTTTCATGATCTTTATGGGTTATGAAATATGTACTTACATTTTTCGCAAACCATTTTGAAAGATTTTTAATGGAATATAGGAAAATTTCTAGTTTATATGATATCGTTTTACGACAAAATTTGTTTTTGTTTGTGAACTTGTAATTTTACATAGTCATGATAGTCACTTTATAACATCGCTAAAATCCGTATACCCGTTAAACAAATCATTACGGAAGTAATTAGTAGCATAGGATATATATATTTTATATTTATATATATTTATAACCACAGATTTATAAATCCGTGTTATAACATAGTACTGGCAAATATTTATTAACCTATACTTAACCTATACTTCCAATAAACTATCATTTATTGTATAAACTATCATTATATCATTTTTTAATAAATACACACACACAGAGCAAATTATATCATTTTGAATGATAATCCTGCAGGGTTTCATATGTAGTTGTTGTTATTAAAAACTCCTTTTCGTTGAATTCGATTTACTTTTGCACGGGTCAATAACCAATCATTACTCTCCGCCATTACAAAGCCATTTTGTGCTATAAAATATATTTCCACTTCTGTATTTATTCATTTACATAATTACAGGTATAAATGTATTTTGTATTTATTCATATATACTCTCATGAGTCATGTATGTCAACTATTGTAATATTATGTATTTAATTAAATAACTACTTTTGTATATGTAGCATAAATTGCATTTTTATATAATTAAAGGATCGTATCTTTTGTTGCGTTTGTATACACTTCGACCCGAAATTCCAAATGATACTGCCTACCTGGTTGATCTGACCCGCGACAAACATAATGTCTGAAAGTCTTTATACATCTGAAGTGTTATATGGATTTATTTTGTTTGTTAAAATCGTGTTTTGCAAAATAAGAAATTTAACCAGTTTCCAGGGCATTATAATTTGTCATCAAACCTACTTTTGATCATGATATTTTTGTTGACCATGCACGTATCTTAATACATGTATATTTATATTGTTTATTGATTTGAAAGATCCTGTGTACGGTAAATAATCTGTGTTCAAAAAAGAAATGAGAGCAAATTTACTAGTTATTTCAGTAATAATGCATTTAATCAAACATTAATAGCACCGTTTCAATTTTTATGAAATTCAATGATTTAATATAAAAGTTGTAATTCAAAAGACATTCTAACAGGCTTCACAAAATTCTACGGTGGCACAGAGGTGACATGTGTGTCTGTTTATCTATCTCGTAAGCACGAGATAACTTACCAATCAGATAACACTATATATATGATTTTTTAAAGCTTTTTAAGCTGGTTAAAGTTTTACATGCAACATTAATCTTTGAAACTACTTTAGGTCGTCACTGGATACATGTCTTTAAGATCATATTAGGAGGTCACTATCCAAGGCCTATAAATGAGACATTAAATTTGACTACGTTATGACCCTTTGTGGGGACCATCCTGTGATAGGGTTGATCAGAACGTACGTACTAACGGTCTGTTAACCTTGTCCATACGATAACTTGAGAAGGAATAAGCCCTGGCTTATTTTATTTGGTAGGGACATTGCCCATGGCCAGAAGATGACCTCTATTGATGGTTAAGGTCATAAGGTCAAAGGTCAAGATAACCAAGACACTTCATGTATAATCGTTGTCTGATGAATAACTTGAGATGGAATAAGTCATGGTTTATATCACCTAGTAGGGACATTTATCATGATCACTAGATGACACCTAATGACTTTATGTTCATTGGGTCACAATGACGCTTAAATGTAAAATCATTGTTCAATCAATAGCTTGAGAAGGAGTAAGCCATGCGCTTTGTTACATGATAGGGACATTGCTCTTAGCCCCTTAGTGGCCAGTAGAAAACCATATTAATTTCAAAGTCATAAGGTCAAAGGTAAAAGCCACAGAGACCCTTGTCGAATCAATAACTCTTGAATAAATAAGCCATTGTTTATGTTACGCGGCAGGAAAATTGGTCAAGGCAAATAAATGATCACTACTGATTTTAATTTAATAAAGTCAAAGGTCAATGTCACAGTGAAAAAATCATAAGTGTGTAATACATGCCAGTGTGACAGGCAGGTGAAGTACGGGCATCACTGTCATACGGCACATTTCTAGTTAACTAAGATATACATATATGAATCTGAATGGTTAATTATGTTGTGCGCACCACTTAATTATCTCGTGTGCACAACTTAGTTACTCGTGCGCACGAGTTAGCAAGTCGTGCGCACGACTTAGTATCTCTTGCGCACCATTTATCTGTCTTACACTGGTTGCCGGTGAAAGCAAGGATTAAATTCAAGATATTTTCTTTCATGTGTAGCTGTTGCATATAGACAGAGCCCCTATGCATTTAATAGGATCAAATTGTCCACACAGGCCGAACATATCCTTTCCATTTTTGTGTGATTGCTGTTTTTTGAGGGGGGAGATAAAATCACACTTTCCACATTTTCGTGTTAACGGTATGCTTCTTGTGTCTAAAGCACACATACAACCATCATGTGGAGATTCGACAAGTCCAAAACCCACCCTATTGTAAACTGTGCAATACTCATGTGTAAGCTAGGTTTAAAGTTGCGTGTATACGCCAGTTAGTCTGTCACGTTTCTTTAAACTAACATTCTTTTTGTAACATTTTAAAAGATGTTTGTCAATATTCTATTTTCTTTTATTTACTCAAACTTTGATTCATATTTTGTGTTGATAAAAGTTGTTAAAGGTGGAACTTGTTGTTTGAAACTTGTTGGAAATAATATTAAAGCAACCGATTTTACAAGATACGGAACAATTTTCGTATAGTCCAACAAATTTGACAAAGGCCTCATCACAACCTATTTTGGCCACTCCTCGGTACTTTCCTCAGATGTCCCACACTTGAAGTATAGGATCGTTATATTCACAGGGATGTGAAGAATTTGATTAGTGAAAATATAAATAACTCAAAATTTCGAGTTAATAAAAAGCATACTTGGCACTAATGCTCTTCCGTACAAATGTTTGATTAGGTGAATACTTATGTGTTGTTGGTTTTTTTTATTTGTCTTTCATTTTATTTATTTATTTATTTATCTATTTATTTATTTTTATTTATTTATTTATTTATTTATTTATTTATTTATTTATTTATTTATTTATTTATTTATTTATTTATTTCGGGGGAGGGGGGATTGACAACCTTGTATATTAGAGTAATATTTTAAACAAGGAAGCTTTGAAAGTTGCAAAACATGCATCATGTTAGTCATGGCAAAAAAGGAAGTATTGCGAAACATAGATACATAATGTCGTTGTAAGAAACCATTTTCACTTTCGATTCTTTGTGCCTTACTATTTCAAGATGATATCTAATGACAAAACAACTCACAAGATTCTGAATAGGTATACACTTATTGACCCACGATGTGTAACAAAAAGCAAAATCAGCAGATTTCACAACAATTTAAACATAGCCTAAACACATGACAGAAATATCGACGACAAAGACTTTTTCCCCCAAAGTATTTAAGACATCCTGAATGGTTTGAAAAATATATATGTTATACATGCTTTTAATTGTGTATTAATTGTTTTGTAGAATCATACTTACATCTATGTTACTTACTTTTTTTCAACTTAAAACATGAAGAAAAAAAATGTTTAGCGATACAATAGATTTTATCAATCATAGTTTGTTTCAGTAATAATGTTTTTGTTGTTTACTATAGTGTCACCACTACTGATGGGGCCAGCCATTTTTGACTTATGAGAGAGACACGTTTTGCCTGCATACCATGTACCTCCTAATTCCTACCACTATGCCATGGCAGGCGCCAGGCGGATATAAATCGGTAACCGTTCTTTTTTAAAGATGTAGTTTCACAATCACATGTGAAATATATTTTGTTTTTTGTTTTCGGCTGATGACATAAAAGAACAAGCAAACCTGTGTCTTATATTTTTGATATAATCTGGGACATAACATCTTATGTCCCAGATATAATATAACAGTTTTTTTGGGTCTTTTTAGTCATTTCCATGTAGCTTATCTATGTATTGTTTCTTCTTTTCTTTTTGGCGTTTAGATATAGTATTTTGTATGGAAAACAAAATACACTTTGTTAACATTTTGCTTCTTATATGACAAAGTATTATGTATTTCGCATTAAACGTTGATTTCTCCTTCACGTGATTAGCATGTAAAATGCTCTAAAGAAATTATCACTACACTTTAAAACACAGGGTTGTCCTTTCTTTAGAGGAAATCCCTATATCATCTACTTAACTACCAAACAATTACCATTCTTTCACAATAATGACACTTAAGTTTGAGTCATTTGATGTTGTTTTTTTTAGGTTTGTTATGCGTGTTTAGTGTTTTAGTCGGAATTTCCTTCTACTGTATACGTAAATCCAAACAATAAAACAAAGGGAATTTCGAAACTCGCCTTCTTACATCTCTTGTGTTAAAATAAAAACGTAGGTGGTGACATGTGATTGTATTAAAATTTGCACAAGAACAATAAATAAAAAAAAGAAGAAAATGGCTTTAAAATAATGACAAATAATTTGAGCCGCGTCATGACAAAACCAACATAATGGGTTTGTGACCAGCATGGATCCAGACCAGCCTGTAAATCCACGCAGTCTGATCAGGATCCATGCTGTTCGCTTACAAACCCTATAACAAGTAGAGAAACTAATAGCGAACACCATGGATCCTGATCAGACTGCGCGGATGCGCAGGCTGGTCTGGATCCATGCTGGTCGCAAACCCATTATGTTGGTTTTGTCATGACGCGGCTCATTTCACATTCAGCGCTGTAGCAACGTTATATGTCGCAACGCCGCTATATGTCGCAAATAACGCTAAATGTCGCAACTCTGACGCTATATGTCGCAATCAACGCTATATGTCGCAATCGCCTACCGCTAAATGTCGCAACGTTGCCGCTATATGTCGCACAAAAATCGATTGCCGCTAAATGTCGCAACCCCTTGACGCTAAATGTCGCACTTGGTAGGAAAGTAACAGATGGAACTGAAACAAAAAAGTAAGTGTTAAAGCATTTAAAGTTTATACCATTTACACATGAAAACATATCCTAGTAAGCAAACAAAATGTGTATTTCGCGGTCTATGGCAAAAACCTGTTATGGCCATAGA